TGATAGAATAGTACATGTGTAACAATGTACAGTTTAATACTAATTTACTAATAATATAGAAATAATATAAAAATACATACATTTATTTAACTCTTTGAGTCCCAGGTGGTTTTGCATCAGAGGCCGGTGGGGGGGGGGGGGGTGGAGCACACTAAAACAAACCACACAACTGCAGCTGATGCGCAACATACATATCATACATGAAAATGAACATAAATGGATAAGGATTAATATTAGCATATTGCTACAACAAACAATTGTACCGTTAGTTAGTATTTAGTAAAGAAAACAGTGACTTAGTTTAAGAGGTTAGTAAATTAATAAAAGGTTTTTTCCACTTACCCAAAACTGATCCCAAAATTCTTGATATAGTATATCCCAAATGCATCACAAAGAAAGGTACACCACTTATAAGTATGCACAGCCAATATTAAAGCAAAATGTGCAATAGTTGTTGTTCCATAGCAATTTTAATAACACTACCATAACACGACAGAATATTTTTTCCAGTGTTTTGTCACACCAGCTGGACATGGCGGTTTGAAAAGAAACCTTGATCGTGTTCTTCCCTCAGTAATACCTCTCCACTGACCACGACTATCATTCTGGCGTGTACTACTAGTAGTTCTAGTAATAGAAGTGCTGACATTTGGACTAGCTGGTGTCGCGTTACGGGGTGCTTCAGCATCACGAGTCTCTTGTATTGCCATGGCAGAATAAGTCTGTGTTGTCCTCTTAACAGGAGGTAAATTACGCATACGTTCCTCATCAGAACCTGACCTGTCAACGGGTTGGGGAAATTCCACGTCGCTACTATCATTATCCAACTCTACATCAATTTGATCTATCCACCGTTTTATTAAATGTTATGCTTCTAAAGCGGTAAATGCTTTGTTGGGCCTGAAGACGATGACTGATTGGACATACTGTTTTCAGACAATTGTTTGGTAACGAAGTAGACCACACAAATATCGATTTATAAAAACTCACCAGACCCAAACGAATGCACTCCACATGTGTTCCCTACACACTTGAGAACCGGAAAGGAAATTTAAATTGAGTGTAATTACAGATAAGTGGTAAATTAAAAACCTTCACTTGTTACGCGTCAACTGGGCCGCCAGGTAGTAACCAATTAGCGCGTGATGTGTTTCCTGGGACTCAAAGAGTTAAACATAAATCTAAATAATAATGTCACCATACAATATGAAATAATTAAACAATATTTTATAAAATAGTTAACCAAGTTATACGAAACATTGATTATACAGTGTAGATGTTTAATAGTTAAAGTACCAGCAGTATAAGGACATGCATATATCCATTGGAAGGCATACATTTTCATGTACACAGTTATAAAAAAGATTGCTTAACATTTTAGAAAACAAGTCTAGTTTTAGAAATTTTAATAAACTAGAGGCCATAATAAAGTGGCCTCATAAAAATCTTGAATTTAACAGAAAAATCAGTCTGGCTAATTCATACTACCCTGTATGAAATATGCCGCCAGTTTGGTAGAAGTTAATACTCTCTTAATGCTTGACATATTTAAAAAAAAATTTTTATTTTAACAAAGACCTTCAAAAGTATCATCAACAACATTAACAACTCAAAAACAAAATACTACACTTCATTATAAAAATTTACTACTATCTGAATAGAAGAGTTCCATGTCATCAACTGTTGCTAATGTCATCAGAAACAGTCTTGGCTTTTCTGCAAAGAAAACAAAAGAGTATTACATAAATAACAGAGAAAATTGTGTTTATAGAAATAAATGTAACTTTTTCTCATGGCTCCTTAATGTTTATACAATAGTATACATTTATTATGTGGCATGACTTTTTAAGGAGTCCAAGGTGGCTCAGAAGTATGGGATATTTGCAAATAGGTCATAACAAGATTGGTTCAAACCCAATAGAGGATAGCATTACAAAGTCAAATAGTGTTTTATTTTTTTTAAAACTATTTTTAATACATTTAAAAAAAAATATTGTAGTGATTTTGACTACACACATTTTAGAAGTGAAAGCTACCTTGATGAATATGAAGGGGGTTTTATGGAACTATGCAAGACTTCTGCCACATGTCCTTGTCATAAACCACAGATAAATAGAAAAGCTAACGAGCCCCTTAAGGATGGGACAACCGCTGGTCCAAATGGTGTCTCTGTATAAGCACCTTAACTGAAACATTGCAAAAATTACTTGGTAGTCTGGGAGGCTTAAATTATACCAGCAAAGTGAAATGAAAGTACCAGCTGGATTATGGAAATTATACAGATGCAACATTTTGTTGGAAAAATATTTAGCAGGATAATTCATATTAAAAACACAACTGCACACAACTAGAGGACGAAGAGTAAGGTTTCTAACTTATCAGTTGCTGCACTAACCATATAGCCATGTGTGGCATAATAGTAGAGCAAAATATTAGAATAAATGAGCCACTTAATATTGCATTTCTCTTAGGATAAGCACCTGTCCTACTATCATATACCACATTTCCATATCTTTGTACATAATTGCGTGATAGATTTGTATGCTTTCTTCCCCTGCTGCTCTAATTAGTTCAGCTGGTATCTCATCACATCCTGGTGATTGACCATTCTTCAGCTTCTTTATTGCCCATGCAGTTTTATCTAATCAGGGTTCAGGTTCTGTCTCTGCTGTCATTGGTTCATGTATGTCATTCATATTCTCAGAGTCATTCATATCCTCACAGTCAATCATATCCTCACAGTCATTCATATCCTCACAGTCATTCATATCCTCACAGTCATTCATATCCTCACAGTCATTCATATCCTCACAGTCATTTATATCCTCACAGTCATTCATATCCTCACAGTCATTTATATCCTCACAGTCATTCATATCCTCACAGTCATTCATATCCTCACAGCCATTCATATCCTCACAGTCATTCATATCCTCACAGTCATTCATATCCTCACAGTCATTCATATCCTCACAGTCATTCATATCCTCACAGTCATTCATATCCTCACAGTCATTCGTATCATACACTCCACTGTAGAATTCCTGCCAACTTTCTAGAATTTTGTCAAGGTATTTCCCAACTTGTCAAATATAACATTTAATTGAGGTTGAACATTTTTTGTCAATAACTTTTTACTTTGAACCTTTCAGAATCTCTTCCATTCTTATGATATTGCTCTATTTTAATACAACAATCATGTATATATCGGTTTTTGTCCTTTCTTATTTCTCAGGTAAACAATGTATACTTCACCTTGCTGTTGTCAGATTCGCCTCCTTTTGTTTTTAATTCCCTTTGTTGTTTTATTAATTCTAATGTGTCTAATGTAATCCATGGGTTATGTCACTTAGTCCTGGTTGGAATGAGATCTTTAGCTGCTGTTATCAAGATATCTCTAGCTTGTACCACCAGTTCATCAGGTGTCATTTCCTCTTGTGCAGACATCAAGACCTCAAAACAATTCCTCACTTCTACATTGTATGCATCCTCACTTCTACGTTGTATGCATCCTCACTTCTACGTTGTATGCATCCTCACTTCTACATTGTATGCATCCTCACTTCTACGTTGTATGCATCCTCACTTCTACGTTGTATGCATCCTCACTTGTACGTTGTATGCATCTGGTACTTTTTGTGAGATCAAAATCATGTGGCCTTGGTCCTCGGGTAAGCTTTTTGAGTTTTAATTTCAGATCTGTTTTTATAAATGATGATCTGTATCACAGTCTACACTTCATTTGGTTTTTGCAGACGTTATGCTCGATGTCCATCCTGTTTGTATTATAATATAATCTACCTGATTGTTGGTAATACTGTCCTGAGACTTTCATGTGAAGAGAATTCTTAGAGGTTCTTTGAAAAATGTATTGGCTATCATTAACTCATTTTCTAGGCAAAATTCCATTAATTTGTCACCTGCATCATTTCTATTTCCCAATCCTAAAGTTTCCTCACATGTCTCCCATTTTCCACTAAACGGGTACTCCATCTTGTCCAAGGGTGTCCCATAGACTAATGGAGGAAAGGAGGCATCTTACATCCCTTTTGATAGGGGATACCCCTACCCCGCTAACCATAATAAAGAGATAAGTCACCGATATATTAAATAAGTAACCAAGGATCAGCACAGACGGCAGTCATTAAGAGTAAATGGGTTAGCTGATGGGGCAGCTATCTCCATAAAATACCTCAAAACTGTGTACTATGGCCATCTGTGAGTAGTTAATGGACAAAACCATAAAGTATAACTAGTTTAGCTTTACAAGATCAAATTCACCAAATACAGAACAGACATTCTGGCTAGAAAGTCCTCACTAGCATACAAAAAAAAAAAAATAAAAGGACACTTATATAACTGCATTAAAGAAAATCACTTAGCTTTTTTTTCTCTAAATGTGAGCCAAGGCGTCGGCTAAATGCTAAGGTAGCAAAATATAACAGTGCCAAAAACTCTTTGGTCAGATGACAGGAAGTGACATAATAAAGTTGGAAAACATGATTTGAATGAATAGAGCAAAGAAAGGGCCTGTTTCACTGATGGACTGGGGAGCTGTCATTTTAAACATGGTTGTGAGGGAAAATTAAGTCTGTTGAATGGTGTATTAGGGTCTACCCCATATATTTTTCTCAGGCACCAGCAGGCTCTATGTTGGTTTTATGGAACCCGCCACATGTCCACATACTGACAAACAACCAAGACTTTCTGTTGGAGTTTACAGCCAGTGAATGCAAACAAAGAAATAAAAATAATTTTAATCACTATAGGGTAATGCCATCCTCAGATTCTCAATAGTACCTGGACAAGAGTTTCACAGTCTAAGGTGTGCCACATTGCCAGATAAGAATAAGAGTTGCCACTTTCTACTTCATGCTGGCACATGCTAGAGATTATGATCACATGGCACATGCACCTGATCACATGACACACGCACCCTGCCCATCAATAAATAAGAGAATCATTACAATTTAAAAAACAAACCTTGTCATTTGTTCCCATCAGTCGGAATTCTTCTTTTTACTGTTATTATCACTGTCTGAACTTGACTTTCCTTTCTGTTGACAGGTAAGAAAAGAAAAAAAAATAGCAGAAATGTTTTAAATAATATAGTAATAAAGATTTTTATTGTGTAAGCTGCTTTGTTTGTTACTGTAATTGCCAGAAACCTGCACATCGGAAATACTCGCCTGTCACAGACTAAATTTACATTTTACATTAGAGACAGTTGAGAGAGAGAGAAAGAATATAGAGCAAGAGAGAGAGAGAGAGAGAGAGAGAGAGCAAGAGAGAGAGAGAGAGAGAGGCTGGGTTGTAAGATCATATGTATGGACAGACAGACAGACAGATATAGAGAAACAACTTGAGAGAGGTAACAAAGGGTTAATAAACAGTCAAGAAATCACCTCATCATCATCATCACTTGATTGACTTGATCTTGAAACCGTGTGCTCCCTGTCAGACTTTATGTCCCTCCTGAATGAAAAAAAAAATTATATATATATATATATATATATATATATATATATATAATTAATTTATAACTGACTCATGTACACAAACAACTGATAAATCCTGAATAATTTATGCATATAAACAATACCTATGTCTGTTTTATTATTTTCTTCCAGTGCAGTGGTGCGTTTGTTTGCCTTTTGAGATTGTGGATATATGTCTGAATCCCCCTAGAGATAGGTTTTCCTAAAGCTGACCTGAGCCTCCACGTTTACCCAGCCTTAAAATGTACCAGGAAATTTTTGCAGAAGCAAAGGCAAACAGCAGGATATTGACCACATCACTCATAAAGCCCAGCTCCCAAAAACTTTGAAAATCTATCTAGACTAAACACATTAAAGGGAATTAAAACAAATGACCCAGGTGTTATCAAGAAGTGCTCTACTTGGCTTTCCCTCATCTGTATTATCCCCAGTCAATCACACAAACTTATTTTAGGAATCAACATCAACTGACAGATAAATTAGATGTAGGCTGTTCGGATTTACGGGGCATGTTATGAGTAGAATAAAGGTGAAAACTTATTACCAGCTGGCAAACATTGAGGAAAAGAAGCAAATGGAAGTCAGAATGGTGAATACCCAGGTGGCCTGGTCATATGACTTCACTGAACAAGAAGATGACTGCCTACGCTATTCTGGCATACAACATGGATGATGATATGATCAGTAATGTTGGAACAAACTGTGTTGTGCACAATTTTATTAAATTAAAGAATCATCCCGGTGTGGTTTACCCGATCCCCTATTAAAGAATAGACCCACTGCTCACATAACAAGAATATCATGAAAGTCAACTAACTAGGGGTTATTCCTTTAAAGTCAGAGTGCAACTGCCTAGAGATGAGGCACCAACAGCAGGGTTACAAATAAGCCAGATCCGTGAAATAAATGTGCACACCGAACTCAGGTTCTGAAACAGGACCAAAGTCCAGAAATGAAGGAACAACCAGAACATTCTGCCGGCGTTTACAACTGGTGATCGCAAAGAAGAAGAGTATACAAGAATCACAATGAAAACATGGGCACTTGTTTTCTTCCTTACCCGCTGGCCTGTCTTGCATGAACCTGAGCAAAAGTACTTTTGGGGTTAACCAGCTCTTGCATACAGACCCGCAGGAAGTCAGCACAGTTGTCATGGTGATGTGTTTCTGCAAGCTTAAATGGAGTCTGTCCAGAGTTGTCTTCAGCATCTAGAGTCACGTCGTTGGCAACCAGCCATTTGACACACTCCAAGTGTCCGCTGAAGTTGACCAGAACAGATGTGAATCATGGATACTGAAGTCACAAATATATTATCATCTCACAAATGTATTATAATCGTCATCCTTTTGTGCTATATACATCACACAGCACTCACAAGCTAGTCTGGTATTATGTTCTATCCTGTGCTATTATACATCACACAGCACTCACAAGCTAGTCAGCTATTATGTTCTATCCTGTGCTATTATACATCACACAGCACTCACAGGCTAGTCTGGTTTTATGTTCTATCCTGTGCTATTATACATCACACAGCACTCACAGGCTAGTCTGGTATTATGTTCTATCCTGTGCTATTATACATCACACAGCACTCACAGGCTAGTCTGGTATTATGTTCTATCCTGTGCTATTATACACCACACAGCACTTACAGGCTAGTATGGTTTTACGGTATATCCTGTGCTATCCCTTCAATATCATGAATGGAATCTGGTCAAGCACCTTTAGTTCCTGTTCTGGGACTATTTTTATTTGATTTGATTCAAGAACCGACATCACAGCACTCGGGGCATTCTGGGACTATGAGATACTCCAGCACTACATACAGAACATGTCCATTTGTGTCAGTTTCTCTAATGGTTCTTTTCAGATTAGGTAAGCATTTACGTGTGAATCCTGAAATGTAATTTACGCTATAATTTGTAAAAGATACAAAATGGTATACACTGGGGAAACTGACAGGCAGCTAGCTGATTGTTTCTGTGAACGTCTCTCGGGTATTAAAAAGAAGACATTCAAACCCTCTCCATTTCAACACCTTTGATTATCAGAGGCGAAGAGCATATATCTGTCACTGCCATAAAATCTTGCTCATGTGATCAAACCACATGCTTTTCTTTGGAAAATCACCTCATCCATGGTCTAGGTAGGTACTGTAAGCCAAGCAGGCATAAATGTTCAGCATATTTTTATTTGAACAAATTCACTGCTCTTACTTTTATTTTATTTTATATACATTTTTTATTCCATCTATTTTATGGATCATGAGTATTTTTCTTCCTACTATTATTATATTTATCACTATTAAATTTATTACTGTTTTTGCTCCGTCATTTATTTTATTCAGATTGTGGGAACAACACCTTGTACTAGATTCATTGAGAATCAGCAGATCAAGTGGTTTGGCCATCTCGTTAGAATGCAGCATCACCAAATATCATTAAAGGCACTACCTCTCAGATGATCAGTTGCAAGGGCAAGAGGACAGACAAGAATAGATGGACTGACAACAGTTAAGACACTTTATGCCACTTACTCACCATTTTCTGAATTTGCAGTTCAAAACACAAATTATGTTGGGCACAGGCAAAAAAATATTCTAAATGAAATCTGCAGCCCATAGTGTCGTGGCATACACTCAATTCTGCAGCTGTGCAACGGAACTATACCAGACAAGAGAGAGGATCAGGGAATGATACTCACCAAAGAACTAAGCAGCAACAACAGAAGAGAATGACCACTCAACTAACCTCTTTGCTGCCAGATGTAATGCTGATTGTTTTTCCTTGGTACAGCTTACAATAGAAGCACCTCTGGTTTGCAAAATCTGTAAAGCAATTACATTCATCAATGAATATTTAAATTCAATAATGAGTATTTATTTTTCAGCACTTCATATTTAACAGGAGCTGCCGCAATGCTGTGACTAGATGCTTGCCTACCTGGCTGAATGTCTCAGGTTTGAGTCTGGACACATTTCTAATATCTACCTTGGACCTTCCAGGTAAAATCGGCACCAGAAAATATCACACGGAAGTAAAGGTGGCCATTACTATGTTTACATCACCCATCAAGTACCAACTGGTCTATAAACTATGACCCTCATATTCTATGTCTGATTAAACACTGGTTTAAAAAAGGTCTGTTTCTTTTCATTTTTTTTATCTGACAGACGGGACTAAATAATTAAATTTCAACACTCAATATTTAAATGCAAAATTTATTGTTTATATTTAGGCACTTCCTATTTATAATCTGAACTTGTTATGTATATTTCTACACTTTATATTACAATATCTAGCAAAATATGTCTGCCTCAGTTGAGATTTAAACACATAACCAATGAACAATCCTGCATCTCATACAAAGCATATTTATTCCAATCCTATGCTACCAGTTCTAGACATGATTACTCACAACAAACTATAAAAGAAAATTAGTAACCATGGAAATGAGATGTATGAGAAGGGCTGCAGGAGTGACAAGAAGAGGTCAAATCAGGAATGATGTCTAAGAGAAGAAAGTCAGCACTGAACTAATTCTACATTACATTCAAAGAGCAAATCAAATGGTCTGCCCACTTAGAGAGAATGCTTTTGTGATGCAATACCATACAAGGCATACACCAAACATAGTTTAATCCGTTTCTTTTCAGACGCTCAGCTCTCATCCTTTCCGCAATCATTTCTTCCTTCAGTCTCATTCCCTTCCTGATATGCCCTTTCTACACAACACGGTCCATTGCATCTTGTTCCGCCTCAATACCTGTATCATTCATGTGCTCCTCTCCATAGCACAAAGCCTGGGCAGTATTGTAGAGACCGTATGTTGCCCATGCATAATGATCCCTCTCTCGACCTGCCTTGTTTACTCCAAAGGAAAGGTAAAACCAGTACATCTGGAACGAGGCAAGTTGCAGAAGCTGCCGGATCAGAAGAGCAGTGCTCTATCTGTCCGCCTGTCGAAGCTTCCCTCCTAGACCAGCTGCCAGCCAAGGCGAAGCGCCTGGTCTGCCCTGCCATAACACAAAGTTTTCAGGTTGCATTTCCTCTTCCTGGGATAAGGCTAGTATCCTACCCAATGCGCTCCTCCGCCAGAAGCCGTTGGCACAATATGGGATGTTGGGGTAGTATACGCCACCCAACATTCGGCGTAACAGTAGACAGGTGGTACCGGCTACTGTTATACGGTAGCTCAGTCATATCTGACCAAGACCTGACACCAATATATAAATATGTAAATATGTGTGTATATATTTATATATATATATATATATATATATATATATATATATATACATACACACACACAGAAATATATACTTTCCTAACATAGATAATCTAAAAAAAATATTAATGGGTTTTGCTGGCCCATGCCATAACATCAGAACGGGGCTTGCTAACAACAATATTAATGTGTTTTGCTGGCCCATGCCATATCATCAGAATGAGGCTTGCTAACAACAATATTAATGGGTTTTGCTGGCCTATGCCATATCATCAGAACGAGGCTTGCTACCTGTTAAATGTTCAATGAGTCTTTGCACACAAGACCAAAAACCTATGATATCCAGTGGGTAATTGAGCCAGCCTGTAGTGATGCAGCAATATGTTTCATGTGGGGCCACATGGTGAAACCAATGGTGTCTTTTTGGAAGAATAACATGCATGTCCTGCAGTAGAGAAATGTACCATGGTAAACCAAAATATGTATGAGACCATTTATGGCACTGGTTGGTAAGGCTTACAAAGACTGAAATCATAAATATGTACATTGTCCAGTTGTATGTTTCTGCAATATCTTGAGGTGTCATGCAAAAGAACTGATAAGCCGTGTACCCAGTAAACGGGATAGCAACAGCAAAGTTGTCTCATATAAGTCGTGACATATGATGGCACAAAAAGGACCATGATGATGATGATGAATCAACAATGCCGAAGTGACATACCACCATGATGTTCACATGCCCACTCATGGCGGCGACATGCATGGCCTGAAAGTCTTGGGGAGTTCTTGCATCCACATCGGCCCCACTGGTGATCAACCATCTGAGGACCTCCATGTTGCCACAGGATGCAGCCGTGTGCAGAGGGGTCCAGCCATTTCCATCTCTTTGGCTGAAATAGAACAGCAGTTTGTGATTTTTCTTCTTCTGATGTGTTGTGGTACATGGTAAAATGTGATGCTAACAATGGAGTGTGCTAGATGGTAAAATGTGATTTTGGGAATAGAGTGTGGTAGATGGTGATGATGTTAATGATTGTGATGTTGAGAATGGAGTGTGGTAGATGGTGATGATGTTAATGATTGTGATGTTGAGAATAGAGTGTGATAGATGGTGATGATGTTAATAATTGTGATGTTGAGAATAGAGTGTGGTAGATGGTGATGATGTTAATGATTGTGATGTTGAAAATGGACTGTGGTAGATGGTGATTATGTTAATGATTGTGATGTTGAGAATGGAGTGTGATAGATGGTGATGATGTTAATGATTGTGATGTTGAGAATGGAGTGTGGTAGATGGTGATGATGTTAATGATTGTGATGTTGAGAATGGAGTGTGGTAGATGGTGATGATGTTAATGATTGTGATCTTGAGAATGGAGTGTGGTAGATGGTGATGATGTTCATGATTGTGATCTTGAGAATGGAGTGTGTTAGTGACTGATCATCAGTTCTCGTTGTGTCTAGTGGCACACGAGGCTTCAGAGAGGATTTTCCATGCTTTCCTGTCCTGTGCAAGCTTCAGTGCAGTTTTCCATGTCAAAGATGCCGCACTCAGGTCACTTTCCATCGTTCATCTCCATTTTGTTTTTGGGCGCCACTGTTTTCTCTTTCCCTCTGGTGTCCATGTGAGAGCTTTTTTGGCAGGTATATCAGGATTCATTCTCATAATGTGGCCAAGCCATTTCCAACTTCTCTTGGTTATCATATTGTCTAAAGTTTCTTGGTTTGTGACTTGAAGTAGTTTAGTGTTTGAGATTGTATCTGGCCAGAAAATTTTGATAATTCTATGTAGACATGTGTGGTGGAAGGTAGACAGCTTGTGTGCATCCTTTTTGGTCATTCTCCAGCATTCCGCTCCATAAAGAAGAACTGGCAAAATGATGCTCTTGTAGAGTTGGAGTTTCGTTCCTCTGCAGTAATCGTTGGATTTCCAGATTTGCCTCATCCTTCCAAAAGCAGCTCTAGCTTTGTTCAGACGTGACTGTATGTCCTCTTCCATCCCTCCCAGTAGGGACACCACACTGCCAAGATATGTGAAATGTTCTACATTTTCAAGAGTTTGGTTATTTATGGTCACTGGTTGTTGGTTTGGACTGCTTGTCATGATCTTAGTTTTCTTTGAATTTATTCTCAGTCCCACCATTTCTGCTGTGCTGTGTAGTTTGTTACTTTTTTCTTGTATATGTTCATGTTTATGTGATAGGAGTGCTATATCATCTGCAAAATCAAGGTCCTCAAGAATGGTGAATGGAGTCCATCGTATGCCTCTCAATGTTCTGTCTACTGTGTTCTTTAGTATCCAATCAATCACAAGGTTGAAGAGGAGAGATGACATAACACATCCCTGTCTTACACCCGTCTTTACTGGGAAAGATGTATTCTAATTTTTTATACTGCAGGAAAAGTCTTTATAGAAGAGAGCAATTATGTTGACTATTTTTTTCTGGAATTCCATAATGTCGTAAAATTTTCCATAGACTGTCTCTATGTACACTGTCAAAAGCTTTCTCAAAGTCCACAAAATTAATATATATACTTCTCTGCCATTCATTGCATTGTTCTAAAATGTTGCGTATGGCGAAGACTTGTTCAGTTGTTCCTCTGCCCTTTCTGAATCCTGCTTGTTCTACTCGTAGGCATTTATCTACTCTTTTTTCAAGCCTCATTATGATGATTTTACTCTGGGAGGGACTGAGAGTAGAGTAATTCCCCAGTCTGTTAAGTCTCCTTTTTTGGGGGATTTGGACTATTGTTCCTTCGGTCCAGTCATCAGGCAGTGACTGATGATGGCAATGATTGTGATGTTGAGAATGGAGTGTGGTAGAGAGTGATGATGTTAATGCTAGTGATGTTGAGAATGAAGTGTGTTAGATAGTGATGATGTTAATGATTGTGTGATGGCTCTGTTGATGTGTACGGTGGTGATGATGGATGTGGTGATAAAAATTGATAATAACAGAGTAAGATAGATAATTAGGTAGAAGATGCTAAGGCCAGCCTCTGTTATGATAAAAATATATATGCAACTGTGTGCAATCTGTTATGATAAAAAGATATATGCAACTGTGTGCAATCTGCTATGATAAAAAGATATATGCAACTGTGTGCAATCTGCTATGATAAAAAGATATATGCAACTGTGTGCAATCTGTTATGATAAAAAGATATAAGCAACTGTGTGCAATTTATTATGATAAAATGATATATGCAACTGTGTGCAATTTGTTATGAAAAAAAGATATATGCAGTTGTGTGCAAGTGGGACATGAATGACACAGGTATTGACAAAGAACCATGGGAACATACTTTCAAGGACCATGTTGAATGGAAGGGGAAAATCAGAAAGAAAAAAAGAGTACAGAAAAAAACTGACTGCAGAAAGACTGAGAGCAGTGAGTGTCTGAAAAGATGCACAGAATAAAAAAATCCCTTGGCAGTTGGAAATTGAAACAAGAGTAGCCTAACAGCATTGCCAGGGCAAATTTGGAGTTACAAATTTACCCAAAAGTATTTCAGGATCCTCGCCGATGCTACAGGGTTTGTGCAATGCGCTGAGATTCTTCAGACTCAGGCTTCGGTCAGAGAAGAACGGAACCCTTATGGGTTACTACCCTTGTGCCAAGATGTTGATCCGTCATCTAAACCAAATGCCTAAACCATGTTGATGTGTGCTGTAGTGGTGATAATGATATTAGTTTGATGTTTATTTTCCTGTTTTTGATTTTCTGTGATAGCTAACATCATGTGCAATGGTCAGGTATTTGCTGCATGACATATATAGATCTTGAACATAAAAGCACAAGACCCAGAGCCCCCCCCCCCCCCCCCCCCCCCCAACCTAATGCACCCACTCTTTTAACTCTGGAGACCGCTGCAGCAGGTCCTTCACTCTATCCAAATCTCCATCCCTGACAGCTGCATGTATGCTTCCATCTCTGCTTGGCTTTCTCTCAGTCTCTTTCTTCTGTTGTTTCCTCTGGTCTGGTTCAGACTTCAATGACTGAAAAAAAAAAAAGACATGTGACAGAGAAGTCATTGTTTCAGCATAGCAAATAACAGTTTTAAGACACACATTTTTTTTTTTCAAGCAAACGGAGTCACTTTATTAATAATTTTCGCTGAACTCAGATATCTCCATATGTATCCAAGTCTTATGCTGGGTCCGTGGCTTAGGCATTGCGAGTCCGACTCGTAATTTAAACATACCACGATCGAAACCCACTGCTGGCTGTGTGGATTTTTATCATGGTTTGGGGCATTGCAGGTCGACCCAGCCTTAAATGGGTACAAGGATGGCTGTCCTGGGAAAGTAAAGACGGCTGGCGTAATGCTGACCACATTACCCACCCAGTGCCGATTGGTCTGTAAAAATATGGGACGCTCTTCCCATATGCCCAATGAGCCTAAGGTGTGAAAAGGGATCTTTACTTAGTTTACTTTACCCTAGTCTCCCACAGAGAGATTCCAGACTCAGTGCACAAACTTTGTAGCACAGGTGAGAATCCACATGTATGGTAATATTCCAGAATCACGAATGCTAAAAATATTCTTTTGCGAGTGTTTTATAGTTTTTGATATTTAACCTTCCTAGTGGCCAATCCTTCTGAATCTCATGATACTACCTATTATTTCTAACTAATTAAGGAATTTTAAACCATTCAATATGCACATATCCTTCTAGTACTCTCATTTGAAAAGGTTAGACATGTTATTCCCTACCCAAGGATCATGCAGGGGTGAGTTCAGGCAGTAAAACCTTACCAGGTTGGCCTGAGTTAGAAGCTGACCTTACACTGCTAAACCACTCCCTTATCTTTTATCTTGCTAGAAACCATTACCAGATTTAGTTAGGTTGCTGTCATTATCGGAACAGATTACCAATGTTAGACAAAAGTATGGCTTATCTTGAGATCATCATCGGAAGGTCCTTTACAGAACATTGTTCTTGTCACAGCACGTCTGAAAGTCTCTCTGTCTCTAGCCAGTTCTCCAGCCCTATGTACTTTTATTGACAAAGCATCTTCACTGTGGTGTGTACACCTTCACAGAAAGCTGGCTCTGCCTCCCTTTCTGGAAACTCTACCCTACATCACCGTTCTATCCGGGCCACCACAACGTTTACCATGGCCAATATACCCCAGCTTTCATTACAGGATGCTGTTTATGAGCCAGTTCTTCTCAATGCTCAGATCATGTAGGATGTCCATGTTTTTCTTCTTAGTCCACAGCCTTTTAGGAATTCATCTCTAGCATTTAAGTTCAAAAAGTCCTTTTTTTCCTTTAAATATCTGAACAAGAGTCTATGGCTCATATGCATGAGTTGCCACATGAAAGATTTGAGATCTCAAAAAGTTTACTTCAGGTTGCTTGCAGGTGCTGTGCAACAGGTTCTTCTTGCTGAAATAAAAACTATAAAGCAGACTAACTGTGTTGTTACCTTATAATTTTTCATGGAGTCATTGCCAGATTTTCTATCTGTATCCATGTCAGTACCATTTTCCAAGATAATCTCATCCACTATTTTTGATCCTGGCATAGAACGGAGAATTATTTTGGTTGCTTTTTGTTCATAGTCATCCTTCTTACCTCTCTGCGAAATAAAGTTTAGAAGATAGTTGTAGGTTAAAAATTCTCAGTTTGAAAACAATAATTTACAAATGTTAAAGGTATAAAAGCTATAACTAAGTTAACTTGAAATAACTTTAAAACATAAATTAATTAGTGATCCAGTTATTATATTTATTTCACTTACTAAAATTTTACTGCGGTTATTAATTACTTTTTGAAATCTTTTAGTAACAAAAAACTTACAGCTACTTCAGTCAGATAAAAAGTTTAAGACTAACCTGTAGTGCTCCACTTTCCTGAAACCTGGCAGAGTCACTTTCCACTCGGACATTGCTACTAATGACTTTACTAGAATTTTGGCTGTCATCTTGTGGCTTTGTTTGAGAAGAAGTAGCATTGTTTTTGTGGCCTGATTCTGAAAACACATCTGGTCTAGAACCATTTTTCTGCCTATATGGCGACTTTGTCATACCTGCATCTGGAGCTAGAAAAAAAAAAAAACAAGAGGTGTATTATTTTTATACTGTGACTGTTTATGGGTGGTTGATTAACTGGGCATCTGAGAATCCTTTAGAAGGTTTATGGGTGGTTGATTAACTGGGCATTTGAGAATCCTTTAGAAGGTCTTACGCAACGGAGCTGAGACTGTCTGAGCTCTGTACAGGGACTGCATCTGTCACAGTGAGGTGGAGGCGGGTGTACATACTTTTTGCCAGATCTTATACACTTTACAATCTTAATAGAAACTGCTGGAGAAAATGTTCCTGTTCCAGTATTGCAGCTTGGGTCACTGACACCTTGTCAAGCAGCCTCTATTTTTATGTCGCTTGATGTCTTGAATGTAGCAAACAGAATGCTCACTGCATGCTCATGCCACTTCTGCAGAAACTGTAAAGTGTGAAACTACCAGTTACCAGTACAGGTACTTCTTTGCTAGCTGCACAATTAAACTCTCAACAGCAATGCGAAGAAAAACAGTTGTAACTGTTGTCTTGAGACACCAGCATCTGTGGATGGCTGTGAGAACACTGGTTTCAGTGTAAGGAGTGTGATAAGGAGTGTGATAGATGAGCTGGGAAACTAGCACAGAAGATGACTGGCAGTCAGACATTTGTGGGTGGAACTTTCTTAATTAGAAAGACACACTCATCCCAGTGTGGACTCCAGGGACTGTGGGGGAAGCAGGGAGGGGACAGACCCACTTTTGAACTAACAAGCATGTCTAAAAGTAGACTAATTAGGGTCTTTCTTTTGAAGTCAGAGTGTATCTGCCTGAGGCAAGGAACCAATAGTCTGCATTTTTTTTTAAAACCAGATCTGTAAAATAGATGTGCAAGCAAAATCCAAGTTCTGGAACAAGACCAAAGTCCAGAAGTGGATGAACAACCATAGTTTACAGCTGGTAAACATGAAGATAAAGAAGAATTAAAAACACAGTCACACTGTGAATGAAACCAAGTGTGTATGAGCCAGCAGCAGGTGTCATAACTCTTAGCTGCTCCATATTATTGTATATATTACAGGAAGAACAGAGCTTATCAAAAGATTGCACCTGTGTGATACAGGAATAACAAGCATCATATTATGTCATGACTGCTAAGTGAAACTAAGCACCTTCATGTCTTTTCTGAGAGCATTAACAAATCCAACAACAAAAAACAACTGACTCACTTTGTAATATCAAGATAATATTGTGAATAAACTATTACTCACCTTCTGTAAACTTTTGCTCGCTGTCTGCTTCTAAAATCCGGTATGTCTTTTTGTCTCCGTCCTGGCCAGACAGCCACTGTCCACATGGGAACTGGTAAACACGCCTGGTGTGCATGTCATATACGGCTACATTCTCCAGGAACCAGGCATAATCTAGGACACAGCCAAGAGTGCATGTCCTTGTTAATGAACTGGTTAGTTGAGTGATCAGAAAAATGACAGTAAAGTACACCTTCTCCTCGACCTACGACCAACTGAACAGAAACTAGAATAGACCCACAGCCCTCCATGCATGATATAAAAATCAACTAATTACGGGTGTTTCCTTCAAAGTCGGAGTGCATCTGCCTGAAAGTCAAGGAACCAACAGTCTGCTTAGAAATAAGCCAGATCTGTAAAACAGATGTGCATGCAAAACTCAAGTTCTGCAACAAGACTAAAGCCCAGAAATGGTTGAACTTTCCACCAGAGTTTACAGCTGTGAAAAGTTGAAACAAGAAAATCTTCCATGAAAGGGTCAAAGTAAATTCTAAATTGCTGTATCATCATCATCATGTAGCAGTTCCTTCACTGCTCTCATCATGACCCACCAGAAAGATTCTTGACCTCTTGTCAGCTGACTTCCTTGCCTCCTGCATTCTCATCCACAGTCGGATGTTGAGACTTCAACTTTACTGCAGATGAGACACCCCCTTATTGCTTTGTTCTCGTGCCAGTTAAAATCCTATAGAATCTCTTCTCTGTTTCATCTAAAAAACTAATGAACAAACAAATTAATTCTGGCAAAAAACCAGAAGCATACAGATGCAGTAAATACATCAGGTAGCCACTTGATGTGCCAACACCAATAGACCTAAAATTGTATTTCTTCATTGATGAGCATAGTCATGACCACCTACAAAATTACTGAATAATGTATAAAGTACTGATACCCTGACGCATTTTGGCCACCTACCATTTTCTGAATATCACAATATAAACCACCACAGGCACAAATGAAAGGCAGTCCACACAAAACACATGCTCATAGTGTTGCACCAAGCACTCAACTCAGTTGCTGGACAATGAAGTCATCGACTCTAGACTATAAATGTCATGTTTTTACCTTTATGTTAGCCAAACTTTGTCTTTTCTTCCTTCTTCTTCTTCTTCTTTGACTGTAACCTCCGGAGGAAAGTTTTGGTTGTTCAACCACTCCAGGATTTTGGTCTTGATCCAGAACTTTGCATGCACATTCATTTTACAGATCTGGCTTATGTATATGCAGACTGCTGGTTCCTCAATTTTCAGACAAATACACTCTGACTCTAAAGGAAACACAACTAATATGTGTTATATAATACAAAGAAAGCCTTTTCTTCCAGAAACAATGCCTTTCATTATTATTCTTTATAAGTGACTGTGACTTTGAATACAGCCCAGGTTTAACAGTTTCTGAGACACTGTGACTTTGAATACAGCCAAGGTCTAACAGTTTCTGAGACACTGCGACTTTGAATACAGCCAAGGTCTAACAGTTTCTGAGACACTGTGACTTTGAATACAGTCAAGGTCTAACAGTATTTAAGACACAAGTTAAGCAATGTATTCAAGAAGTTAAATGTAGAATAGCTCAAGCAGAGGCAGCATTTTATCAGATGAAGAATATTCTATGCAAACTTTCTTTGTCAAATGAGAGGCCAGAAAGAGAATTCTCAAGAGCTTTATAAATCCTGTCCTGAAATACATTGTGGCTATGGGAAAATTAGAGTAGAAAACAAGGCTAAGGAAAAATGAGAGAGAGAGAAGATGCTGGACAGATTGACATCATGGCATGGAAGATGATCTGTGTCAGAGTTGATTGAAACACGAGACAGAAGGTTGGGGATAGACATGACTATACACGAGACAGAAGGTTGTGGATAGACATGATTATACACGAGACAGAAGGTTGTGGATATAGATGACTATACACGAGACAGAAGGTTGTGGATAGACATGATTATACACGAGACAGAAGGTTGTGGATAGACATGATTATACACGAGACAGAAGGTTGTGGATAGACATGACTATACACGAGACAGAAGGTTGTGGATAGACATGACTATACACGAGACAGAAGGTTGTGGATAGACATGACTATACACGAGACAGAAGGTTGTGGATAGACATGACTATACACGAGACAGAAGGTTGTGGATAGACATGACTATACACGAGACAGAAGGTTGGGGATAGACATGACTATACACGAGACAGAAGGTTGTGGATATAGATGACTATACACGAGACAGAAGGTTGTGGATAGACATGATTATACACGAGACAGAAGGTTGTGGATAGACATGATTATACACGAGACAGAAGGTTGTGGATAGACATGACTATACACGAGACAGAAGGTTGTGGATAGACATGACTATACACGAGACAGAAGGTTGTGGATAGACATGACTATACACGAGACAGAAGGTTGTGGATAGACATGACTTTACACGAGACAAAAGGTTGTGGATAGACATGACTATACACGAGACAGAAGGTTGTGGATAGACATGACTATACACGAGACAGAAGGTTGTGGATAGACATGACTATACACGAGACAGAAGGTTGTGGATAGACATGACTATACACGAGACAGAAGGTTGTGGATAGACATGACTTTACACGAGACAAAAGGTTGTGGATAGAGATGACTATACACGAGACAGAAGATTGTGGATAGAGATGACTATACACGAGACAGAAGGTTGTGGATATAGATGACTATACACGAGACAGAAGGTTGTGAAAAGACATGACTTTACATGAGACAGAAGGTTGTGGATAGACATGACTTTACACGAGACAAAAGGTTGTGGATAGAGATGACTATACACGAGACAGAAGATTGTGGATAGAGATGACTATACACGAGACAGAAGGTTGTGGATATAGATGACTATACACGAGACAGAAGGTTGTGAAAAGACATGACTTTACATGAGACAGAAGGTTGTGGATAGACATGACTATACATGAGACAGAAGGTTGTGAAAAGACATGACTATACATGAGACAGAAGGTTGTGGATAGACATGACTATACATGAGACAGAAGGTTGTGAAAAGACATGACTATACACGAGACAGAAGGTTGTGAATAGATGTGACTATACACGAGACAGAAGGTTGTGAATAGACGTGACTACCAAAGGCATGGTCTATAAGAAGAGAAAACTGAGCAAATTAACATAAATTCAATAAGAGAAACACTTACAAACAAATTTACATTGAACAACCAACAGAAATAAGCTTTAGCAATTCAAGAAAAGTGGTTCTTACTTATCTGTGCTCTATCATGACCAATCTGAATTTTTCTAAGTTGGCCAACGTGGCAACCAGGAAGCAGAAATAAATCTTCCTAGAAATAGACATGAATTGTGACAGACATATTTATACTGATCATTTATAATGATAATTTTTGTCTGACTTTAAAGATGTTTAAATTAATTGACAGAAACATTCAGACAAAGTTTTCGGACAGAAGCAAATTCCAGTAAATCAAGATATGAGGAAATGCTGCTAAGTAGTACACAGACTGAGAAAACATGAGGATAATAGAATTAGAATGTTCTTGCCTTAGAGTACACATGGTCAAAGCAAAAAGAGGAGACCCCCAGAAAAAACATGTACAGAGAAGAGTGTCATAAACCTATGACCTTCAAATGACCTGATCATGTGGTAGCAGAGACCCTCTTTCATAAGGATTTGGAGATAATAGGAACTTTAGACTGTGTGTTTATTATTGGATTATGTTCAAGGTTCATTACTGTTTTATCATCATTATCATCAATCAACAGATTATTTACAAAATGTCACTCTCTTTATGGCGTGCCTTAAAGTAACTCTATCGCTAGCTAGCTCTCCCGCCCTATGTTTAAAAATCTGTACACGTTTAAAGGTTCATTGTTAAAACAGATGCATTCAAGTCCCTTCTCACCGGTTATATAAGCAGAGTGTTAACAAAGTTCACAAATATAAATGGCAAAAATACTAGTGTCTCTATACTCATCATCATGTCACAGGTCCTTTGCAGAATGTCACTGTCATCTCAGAATGTCGCTCTCATCACAGTCTTCCTGTAATAAATTCTGTCTCTCACCAGATCTCCTACCTGGTACACCCTCCTACGCAAGGTGTCACTTATATGCTGTGCCCATCTTTGTGCTGGTAAGCCCCTGCCCCTTTTCCTGGCACTATGCGTTCCTTCCAATCCGCCATGGCTCTTGACATGGCCTAACTATTTCAGTTTCTGAGACAAGATGCTGTTTACTAAGCAATCTTCCTTGATGTTGAGATCTTCCAGGATGTCATTCTTCTTCTTCATCTTCTTTCATTAACCTGAAATAAGTTGCCTGCATTAGCAATTTTGTCTCTTGTATAAATTTCACTGTTGTTAGTTCATTCAGTGGTAAATAGAGTTTACGTTCCACTGTTGTTCTTTCTGGCCAAAAGATTTGCCTTAATGTGTCAAATTTGGTGCAGTCCTGGAGTACATGCTCTGCTGTCTGGGGCACCTTTCCACAGGTGCACATGGCTGATACACCTATCTTGAATTTTGTGTACATGTGGTTACATAATCGGTTGTGCCCTGTTCTGAGGCGGAGGATAATGACTTGTTCTGGTCTGTGCATAATAAAATAGTCGTCTTGTGCTGGGGCTGGTGGTTTCCTGATCGATTTAATGTTTCTTCTCTTTTGGTGGTACTTGACACCTTCCCCTGCCAGTTGATCAGCTTTCTCATTTCCAGGCACTCCACAATGAGATAGTATCCACTGCATTATGACTTTTCGCTGAAGGCTGAGTTGTGTCAGCAGTGTTTGCAATTCTGGTGGTTTCCTAGACTGGAGTGCTTCAAGTACGGATTTAGCATCTGTCAGCATTACCACATACTGTGAGCCAAGATTGGTATTTAGCAGTTTCTCTGTTGCTATCTTGATAGCTTGTAGGATGTCAGTATGTCTTTTCTGTCTGGTACAAAGATTCAAAGAATCTTTCTATAACTTTGAGCTCAAAAGCCCCTTTCTTCCTTAAGGACTGAGAGATAGTCAATGACTCACATCCGTATATTGCTATGGGGAACATATATGCCCTCAAAATTATGACCTTGTTTTCTTTCTGATGCTTAACCATAGACTTTTAAGGATGGCTAAACCATAGACTGTCAATGATTGCTTAACCATAGACTGTTAATGATTGCTTAACCATAGACTTTTAATGATTGCCCAACCATAGACTTGTAATGATTGCATAACCATAGACTGTTAATGATTGCTTAACCATAGACTGTTAATGATCGCTTAACCACAGAATTTCAATATTCGCTTAACCATAGACTGTTAATGATTGCTTAACCATAGACTTTTAATGATTGCCCAACCATAGACTTGTAATGATTGCATAACCATAGACTGTTAATGATTGCTTAACCATAGACTTTTAATGATTGCCTAACCATAGACTTTTAATGATCGCTTACCCGTAGACTGTTAATGATCGCTTAACCATAGACTTTTAATGATGTTTAAGCCTCTACGCTAGCATCTATATTGACAAGAAATTATCTGTTGTGAGCAAGTCATCTGACTGTGAACATTTGCCCAGGTCAGCTATATACTCTGTATAATTATGAAAAGCTGAAGTATTGAAGTATTGTTAACATATACACAAGGTTCATGAAGTGGCAAGGCTCATATTGACCAATATGTGGGGAGACCATTTTACGATGTTACTAATCTACAGATTGAGTTCCTAGTCTTGCTTGTGTTCTAATGATCACCATGTCTCAGTGCTAATGTGAAGTTCCAGAACTAGTTTTCCACACTCCACTAGATTTTTATCTCGGAGAAGGACAAAAAAATTCCCCAAAACAGTGTCCATTGAGATGGTACTTCATTATCAGGTCATGAAAAAAGTCTCTACACCAGTGTTTTTAAATCTATGAGCTGTGGCCCACTGGTGGGCTGCGGGAAAAAGTCCCTAAGGCCCACCAACATATTCAGTTTAATCATGTAACGAGGTCGGTTAGGTGGTTGTCTCATTCAGTCTGCAGGATTAATACCACAAGGGATTAACAAAAACCAAATGAAGAAAGCAAATCATTGTTATTGTAGTGCTTTGCATTGTAGAAACAACTCTCCAGCCACATATATGAGGTTTTTTAACTTACAAGCAGCAGCAGATGTCTCATTAGCTGAAAATTTTAAATTTTGTGATATCAGATTCAACAAATAAGCCGTTGTTTACATTTATTTTGTGTTTGTTTAGCTGTTAGGTGGGCCTGCAAAACAATTTCTTATCTTTTTTGGTGGACCCTGGGTATAAAACAGTTGAGTAGCATTGTTCTAAACTTCATTTTGATACACACAAACTGTTTTCAGGACTCAGACAACCTGAATGACAACTCATTAGGTTAAGACTGTTGAAAATAGTCTTAAATAGCAGTAATTTCACAAAAATATTAATTTGATTGTTTACATTATACTGACTTGTTATCTTCACAAATTATTTATTCAATGTGAATTATTTCTAGACACATAAGGAAAAATAATGACTCACATTTCCTTTCTGAAATGGTATCTTGTGTCTCTTGGACAGACTGCTGAGGTCGAATTCTTCACTCCTTCCCTTGTCTCCAAACAGCGTTAATTTAACAGGAGCAGCTGTGCCAGAGCCCAGTCGGTCACCAGTACGCACAAGGACTTGATATTCACAAAAGATTTTGTCAATGTCATCTTTTTGAATCTGCAGGTAACATTTTATGAGATGATGTATGAATGGTACTACTGACTAGCAAATAGTGCATACAATATTTTATTATCGGTATTTGAAGTTAAAATTATGCATGCAAAAGGAACAGAATTATGGGACAGGAAGTTGAACAATTTTATACTTTTATCATCATCAAGTGTTATGCTGTCCAGCATGTGCAGTGATTTTTCGCCACTTCTTTCAGTCACCCACAGAATTACAAAAGTAAAGAACTCTTTTCCAAGCCTGCAGGCATATTGGGCATGTAGGGCTGGACCTATATTATACAGACCAATCGGCCCTCTATGGGTAACGTGGTCAAAATCATACCTGTTGCCTTTACTTTCCACGACTTCACCTAGTACCCATTTAAGGCTGGATCAACCTGGAAGCCAAGGCCAATTTAAAAAAAAAAAGGTCTAGCTCATTTGGATTTGAACCCCTGACTTTCAGATTCACAAGCGAGCATCTAGCCGCTACACCATGGTGGCTGCCACAGAATAACAGTGCAGTCAGAAAATAAGAAATATATATGATGAGGACGACCAATCAAATAAGTTATAATTTCTTACATTGTCAGTATTTGATTCTGAGGTTTTCTTATTATTGCTGGCATCTCCTTCAGTCTGTGTTGCCCGCTCAATGCCAACTTGTGCCTGCTGCTTCTGTCCAGGCATGTTGATGACTGTTGTGGATTTATTTTTTCTCGGAGAGTGCTTGGGAGTTTGAGAATTGGAGTGGGACTGATAGAAGTGGCTAGATGAGGATTCAGAAGATGAAGAGGAATGGGAATATGAAGAACTAGTCCTAGAAGAAGTAGGCGATGATCGACTACTTTGTGCTGGCGAAGTGGATCTGGAACGTGGCTGTTTATACTTCTGCCTGTGAATGAAAAGGAGGTATAATATTTTTTAACTTTAAAACATTTGAAAAAATAAAATGAAAACAAAACTGCTATTACTACCTGTATTTATTACATTTGTGGTGAAGGCAAAAGGCGGGGGTGGAGGGAAAAGGTGGGGGGGGGGGTGATTGTTTTCAACCTGGAGGATTCGAGGATTTAAGGCTAAATGGCTAGTGCTGTCATCATGAACTGTGCAGGTTAGGATCATATTCCCCCCCCCCCCCCCCCCCCCCCCCCCCCCCCCCCCCCCCCCCCAACAGAAAAAAATCCCCAACTTTACTGAGGATTCAAACCCAAGTGTCCAACTTGAGAGTCCAACATTTTAACTGTCAGCTAGCCACTCCGCTCCTCAAACTATGAAACAAATGTTTAACAAATGCTAAACCCAAAATCAGACTTGTCATATTGTACTTATAAACACAAATAATGTGGGCAGTTTTATGCAATGGGTGTCTTCTATTCTGCATACCTATTTAAATAAAACAAAGCTTAATTTTCTTGAAAACAGAGATTATTCTAGTTCCCATCATCAGTCACCTCTCTTTTTGTTTAAAAATGATTTTGGTCTTTCTTTCCAGTGAATTCTGAGCTTATAGAAATTAATTATTTGTTTACTGCAAAAAAACTCTTACCTTTTCTGAGTTTTCGGAGATCCGGATTTATAGCCTTTTTTCTAGAAAAGAAGAAAACATAGTAATTCAGCAATGATGATTTTTATGTCAACCCCCCCCCCCCCCCCCTTCCAATAGTCATGGCTGTATGTCATGCAGGGAAACCGGGGACAGTCTTGAGTTAAACCAGCTGTATTGTTAATGTATGTTAATGTATATGCCATGTATTTGTTAAGGTACAAAAATCAGAAACTGCCAAAGCAATAGATTATCGTGGAATCTGACCTTTAGGCAGACTATTGTCTTAGTAGTGTCTGTGTTTGTGAGGAGCAAACAAAACTCATATGTGAGAGAAAAAATATTCACGACTGCAGATCTCAATCTCAGAAACAGATTATAAAAATCTTTGTAAACTACCTTTTATCTCCAATGGACCCTCAGCAAACTCATGTTAAGCCTCTTGTAGTAATTCTGTAGCTGAATTTTTCTATGGGATGAGGTAGTCAGTCTCACACCAACTCTCCTTAGTTGTCTTTTATGACACACATGATAAAATGACCTTGGCTCCCAGGTCGACCCAGCCTTGAGTGGGTACCGGGTGCAGTCCCATGAAGTAGAGGTGGCCAGCGTGATGCCGACCACATCACCCATCTTGTGCCGATTGGTCTATAAAATATGGGTCTAGCCCTATATGCCCTTGACGCCTAAAGGCGTGGAAAAGGGTCCTTTACTTGCTTATGATAAGTTACAGTGTTCTAATCTTTGCTTTTTTTATGGGTCCCAGCAACACACAAGAACAGAAGACTCAAACACATCATACACATATTAGACGCACAAGATCACAATTAACATAGCATCCTTTGACAGATAACGATAAAGAAAATATTATATGAAAGCATTGTATGTACATTACTAACAAAAATGAGAAATATACTAGACCATACTTCTGTACGTTTCACAGTCATATGATTGGTATATTGCATGAATTATCTGCAGCACGCATATGCTGGTGGGTTCATATATGTATGTGTGTGTTGCATACACTACTCATAAGCCATATGGAAATGTATTAAAAGATGTTATACTGTTTGAACTGCAGTCACTCTGTGTCTTAAGTTGACAATTAAAGTTTAAAGAGATAACTGTGCAAGAAAGGATCCAAACATAGATGATAAGCATGATGATGATGATGCTATAAAGATTACTGATATACATTATTTAATTATAAGGAAGCAGAACTCAGTAATGTAAAGTACCTCATCCTGGTCTTTGTAGTGAAGAGTGCTGCCACTTCTGGCTGTAGTGGGTCTTGATTGTTCATTCTGATTTTTCACGAATTGTGTACCAAAAAAAAAAAAAAAAGTATACATTCATTAGAGTGAAAATGAACAAAATTCACATATTAATTTGTGTTTAAAAAAAAAAAAAATTTCAACAACAATAAAAACAAAGCTGTCCCATAAAACAACAAGAAACACATAAATGTAAGAAATAAAAAAACCAAAATGATTACCTGAGTTACTGCTGAAGCTGACCCCTTTCCTCTTTGTGAAGGTGATAATGAAATCTTGCCAAGGGAGCTCAGTTCCTGTTTGTAACAAATGAAACTCTTTCACACGTTTTATTGTAAAGCAAAATTTATCCAACAGTGAGGAAACAGACTTATGATTCATCTAACAGTGAGAAAACAGACAAATTATTAATCTAATAGTGAAAAAACAGACAAATTATTCATCTAACAGCGAGGAAACAGACAAATTATTCATCTAACAGTGATGAAACAGACAAACTATTCATCTAACAGTGAGGAAACAGACAAATTATTCATCTAACAGTGAGGAAACAGACAAATTATTCAGGCAGTGAGAAAACAGACAAATTATTTATTAAACAGTGACGAAACAGGCAAAACAGTGAGAAAATGGACGAATTATTCATCTAACAGTGATGAAAAAAGCAAATTATTCATCTGGCAGTGAGAAAACAGACAAATTACTCATCTAACAGTGAGGAAACAAACAAATTATTCATCTAACAGTGAGGAAACAGACAAATTATTTATCTGACAGTAAGAAACAGACAAATTACTCATCTAACAGTGAGGAAACATGCAAATTAGTCATCTAACAGTGAGGAAACAGACAAATTATTAATCAACAGTGAGAAAACAGACAAATTAACGAATCAAGAAACAAGAAGACTATCAATAAGGCCAGCAATTTTTAGAACAGGAAACAAAACAAAAAACTGAACAGAAAAGATCAGTCACATGAAAACATTGTAAGGAGATCTACAAAGACTAATACCAACACCACCGATTCCTATTTGTTTTCTGTTTTTAATTTCCTCCATTTTATCATTCTATCAGCTTATAAATTGTATTCATTACAAGAACAATCATTATTTCTATTCTCTTTCTGTCTCTCTCCCTCTCTCTCTCTCTCTCTTACACACACTCCCTCTCTCTCTCTCTCTGTTGTCTACTCTCTTTCTTGAGAGCCAGGAACGTGTGTGGTTTCAGAGCTTGGAAAGGGGAGAGCTCTTCTGCAACACAGTCCCAATAAAAAGCATGTGTTCGGGGTGTTTCTTCTAAATCTGGAGTGCATCTGCCTGAAAGGCGAGGTTCCAATATCATGCATCCAAATAAGCCAGATCTGTAAAATGGATGGGCAGGCAAAACTCAGATTCTGGAACAAAACCAAAGACTAGAAGTGGACCACAAACCAAAGCTTTCTGGTAAAGTTTACAGTCGGTAAATACTAAAACAAGGAAGAATATAGCTCCAATAAAGACAATGGTTTGCTACTAGGTCTTGAGAAGTCTCTACATCAACCTCACTCCAACAGAGGCAAGCCATTCCAAATTATTTACAATTAAAAATAACAATGAACTAAAGTTATTCAGTCAAATATAGACTTGGTGTGTACGCCTCTAAATAAGTATTGCTAGGATTAAGTGTTTTTATTTTTTTTTTTAAATTAATTAACAAACACAATTCTAACTAGCTCTAGTTTACGACCAATCAATTTTAAACACATAAATTATCAAATTTTTTTTTCACAGAATTTAATCTCTGAAGTGCACACTGTATAAAGCTTGCAGGTTTAAATATAAAAACAAAAAGAAAAACTAATGTTTTGAATTGCATAATAGATTATAATAAGTAAGTGAAAACCACAAAAGGTCAAGTCAGCATTGTTATACTTACAGAGCCACAAATAATCTTCGTGGCTGAATTTACCAGCCGTTCTGCTTCCCCCTTTGAGACATGTTGGTCAGAGAGTGTCTGTTTAACTGGCCAGCTACGTAACAAATTGCTGAGAAGGAAAAGACATTTCTTTAAAAACAATGTTTAAACATGGATCAGTGTACAGATAACACTTGATAGAAAATATTCAGCAGCAGTAGGTGAAGGTAAAGATATACATAACAGCAGCAACTTAAATTTAGAAAAAAAAAACATTTTCTTTTGAAACCTTTTGTTTTAAATAACTGTTACAGAATTTCTTAACATTCAATGCTTACATAATAAACTTTGTTAAGCCAAACAAACAAACAAAGACTGTCTCAGTTATATCAGTGGCTGCGGCCTTAAATTCTTCTACTCCCCCTCCCCCATCTCCCAATAGAGCCAGGAACCCACACTGAAAATCTATGCTGTGACTTGTGTGTCTTTCAGCCCAACAGATCCAATTTCAGCACGCCCATGATTATTAACAGCAGCCACTGTGGTGTAGCAGCTAGACATTCGCCTGTGAATCAGAAGGTTGTGGGTTCAGATCCAGATGGAGCCGGACTAAAATAAAATCACCTTGGTTTCCAGGTTGACCCAGCCTTAAATTGCTACCAGGTAAATTCCTGGGAAGTAAACATGGCCAGCGTGATGGTGACCACATCACCCACCGAATGCCAGTTTGGTCTGTAAAATATAGGTCAAACACTATATGCCAAACTGCGTGGATTTTTATCGTGGTATGGGACGTCGCAGGTTGACCCAGCCTAAAATAGGTACCAGGATGGGCTGTCCTGGGAAAGTAAAGACAGCCGGCGTAATGCTGACCACATTACCCTCCGAGTGCTGATGGTTTGTAAAAATATGGGACTCTCTGCCCATATGCCCGATGCGCCGAAAGGTGTGAAAAGGGATCTTTACTTTACTTTACTTACTATATGCCAAACATGCCCTAAACGGGTCCTTCACTTTATTTGATTATTCACCTTTTCTGCAATATTGGTTCAGTGGCAGTGGGTCTATCCCCCTCCCCCCCCACCCCATTTTCCTCCATAAAACAGACCCTGGAACCCACATGGAGGAAAGTCTGTTTTACAAGTTAGAATTTCTTAAATATATCAGTTTAATTTTGAATCGGAAAATTAATTTTGAGTTAGATACAATTATAAAACAAAAAAGAAACTAAAATTAAAAAAAAAAAAAGATTATGAGTAAAGTATGAATGATGCTTGACCCCCCAAAATATGCATATTAAAGTACAATAAAACAGTCCTAACACAAGCACAATGGTAATTTAGACATTAAACTGTTTTTTAGAAAAAATTTGTACTGTAAAGTATACTCATTACATGAAAATAAACAGTTTGTAAGTAATGAAGCTATTTGTAAATACAAACAAATATATATTTACAAACAAGAATTCAAAATAGAAATGTAAAAATAATGAAAATATATACTTTTGCTTCTGTTTCCGCCTATAAAGTATCACTCCAGCAGACTGTGGGTTCTTTCTGTGATTGTGGCGATAATAATAACTTGGCAGAGTTCTTTTCTGTGGAGGCAGATGGTGAAATTGAACCTGAGAATGCAATACTTTTCTCTCTATTGAAGAATATAAAGTTTTTCGGTTGAGGCTAACCAACTAACCAGCACTGGATTGGGTGTCCAGGGTTTGATCACTTATGAGTCTTGGCCAGCCCTACTCTAATTAAACATTCAAAAGTGGTCATTGGTACAATATTGTAGAAATCTTATACTGTCAATCATCTGTAAATCATAGAAGAAAGGGATATTTATCCATAATATAGCTTTAAAAAACAACAACATAGGATTACTATTGACTGATTAGTAACTATCCTGTGCCAGAAGCTATTTTTGCGATGTCAAGTATCATGAAGGCCTAGAGAGAACTGTGCTGAGGTATTTTTGCTATGTCAAGTACCATGATGGCCTAGAGAGAACTGTGCTGAGGTATTTTTGCTAGGTCAAGTATCATGATGGCCTAGAGAGAACTGTGCTGAGGTATTTTTGCTATGTCAAGTACCATGATGGCCTAGAGAGAACTGTGCTGAAGTATTTTTGCTATGTCAAGTATCATGAAGGCCTAGAGAGAACTGTGCTGAGGTATTTTTGCTATGTCAAGTACTATGATGGCCTAGAGAGAACTGTGCTGAGGTATTTTTGCTATGTCAAGTACCATGATGACCTAGAGAGAACCGTGCTGAGGTATTTTTGCTAGATCAAGTACCATGATGGTCTAGAGAGAACCGCGCTGAGGTATTTTTGCTAGATCAAGTACCATGATGACCTAGAGAGAACTGTGCTGAGGTATTTTTGCTATGTCAAGTACAATGATGGCCTAGAGAGAACTGTGCTGAGGTATTTTTGCTATGTCAAGTACCATGATGACCTAGAGAGAACCGTGCTGAGGTATTTTTGCTAGATCAAGTACCATGATGGCCTAGAGAGAACTGTGCTGAGGTATTTTAGCTATGTCAAGTACCATGATGACCTAGAGAGAACTGTGCTAAAGTATTTTTGCTATGCCAAGTACCATGATGGCCTAGAGAGAACTGTGCTGAGGTATTTTTGCTAGGTCAAGTACAATGATGGTCTAGAGAGAACCGTGCTGAGGTATTTTTGCTAGGTCAAGTACCATGATGATCTAGAGAGAACCGTGCTGAGGTAGCTGAGGTATTTTTGCTATGTCAAGTACCATGATGATCTAGAGAGAACCGTGCTGAGGTATTTTTGCTAGGTCAAGTACAATGATGGTCTAGAGAGAACCGTGCTGAGGTATTTTTGCTAGGTCAAGTACCATGATGGTCTAGAGAGAACTGTGCTGAGGTATTTTTGGTAGATCAAGTACCATGATGGTCTAGAGAGAACCGTGCTCAGGTATTTTTGCTAAATCAAGTACCATGATGGTCTAGAAAGAACCATGCTGAGGTATTTTTGCTATGTCAAGTAGCATGATGGTCAGGAGAACCATGCTGAGGTATTTTTGCTAGATCAAGTACCATGATGGTCTAGAGAGAACCATGCTGAGGTATTTTTGCTAGATCAACTACCATGATGGTCTAGAGAGAACCATGCTGAGGTATTTTTGCTAGGTCAAGTACCATGATGGTCTAGAGAGAACCGTGCTGAGGTATTTTTGCTAGGTCAAGTACCATGATGATCTAGAGAGAACCGTGCTGAGGTATTTTTGCTAGATCAAGTACCATGATGGTTTTGAGAGAACTGTATTGAGGTATTTTTGCTAGGTCAAGTACCATGATGGTCTAGAGAGAACCGTGCTGAGGTATTTTTGCTAGGTCAAGTACCAGGATGACCTAGAGAGAACCGTGCTGAGGTATTTTTGCTAGATCAAGTACCATGATGGTCTAGAGAGAACCGTGCTGAGGTATTTTTGCTAGGTCAAGTACCATGATGGTCTAGAGAGAACCATGCTGAGGTATTTTTGCTAGATCAAGTACCATGATGGTCTAGAGAGAACCATGCTGAGGTATTTTTGCTAGGTCAAGTACCATGATGGTCTAGAGAGAACCGTGCTGAGGTATTTTTGCTAGATCAAATACCATGATGGTCTAGAGAGAACCATGCTGAGGTATTTTTGCTAGATCAAGTACCATGATGGTCTAGAGAGAACCGTGCTGAGGTATTTTCGCTAGGTCAAGTACCATGATGGTCTAGAGAGAACTGTGCAGTTTCTGGAAAATGATGCAGAGGCTGACCTCCACAAAGGTGGACACAGGACACTGAAGATGTATTGGCTATGAAAGCACATAGGGCTGGAGACTAGGCTAGAGAAAGAGACTTGCAGGTGTGCTGTGAAGAAAGCGATGTTGTGAAAAGGATATGATGACTGGTTGATTGATTCATAGTAAACTGCTTGGCACCCATGAAACACCTACATGTATTCTGTCTCTCTATGATTATTCTTTTAGAATGATGATAATGAATACATCTAAGCTATTCCCATCTGTAAACTCCTGATTTTCTATAGATGGCAGAATACAAACAGACATTTTCAAAATTCTAAAATTATACTTTTTCTTGTGTTTTTATAGATTCTCTCTCTCTCTATCTCTCCCTCTCTCTCTCTCTCTCTCTCTCTCTCTCTCTCTCTCTCTCTCTCTCTCTCTCTCTCTCTCTCTCTCTCTCTCTCTCTCTCTCTCTCAGCTGCTTTAATAGATCTCTAACCTTGCACATAACCTGATGTGTGTGTTTTGTTTTTTTGTTTTTGAGATTTTTTTTTTTTATGGGGCATTGCTGTGAAAACTGGTGTAATATATATATATATATATATATATATATATATATATATATATATATATATATATATATATATATATATATATATATATATATATTTTTTTTTTTTTTTAAGAAATAGAGGAAAGCAAAAAGAGAAGAATTTTCACAGCTTGTCATTGTGGCACCTGAAAATAAATATCAATAAATTAATGCCCCCAGCAAATCAAGTCAATGCTCTTATCTTGACCCATCCATGTGGCCAAACCAAACAGGTATAGATCTTTTTGTCTTTCTCTTGTTCTTCTGGCATCAGTCTTACTTTCTTTACTTTACTTAGTAAATCCTCTTCTACCTGAGGTTTGCCAGAGAGATCGCCAGACCTCTCTTTCTGCAGTTTTTGTGTGTGTGGCTTTGTTCCATTTCAGTCCTTTGTCAGTCAGGGACTGTCGGATGCTGTCCTCCTAGTGAACCCTGGGTCACCCTGGTGGTCTGGTTACCTGGTTCTTGGCCCCTCATGGCTGCCATGGTCGCCAATTTTCTTCCATTCTGCATACGTGTCCAGACCATCAAAACTATGACTGACCCACTCAGGTTTGTAAGGTCTGGGTTTAAAAATCCTGACGCATTTTCAGATTAGTAACTTTGTCTCTTCTTGTCACTTTCTTTTCTCAGATATCTCATTTCTGACGCTTGAAGCTGGTTTCTTTGAGCTGTTTCACTGCCCATGATGCACACTAGTAGGTCAGAAACGACACACAGGAAGAGCAGTAAACAGACATTTTTGTTCGCTTGCCTATTTCTCTTTTGCTGAGAAACCCTCAGTTCCCACAAGTCCTGTCATGACTGGGTTCTTGAGTCCATTTCCTTTCATACCAAAAATATTGATTGCCTAAGACTAATTTGTCTAACTGGTTTATGTTTCTCAAATGTATCTGTTTTTATTTTATTCCATGATATTCTTTTCATTCATCTGATTAGACACATCCCTGATACCAGTAGATGTTTTTCAGGGTTGTCTGCTTGCTGATAATGATGGTGCAATAGGACAAATACACAAAGCTACATTATTTAGGTGCTTCAAAACTACACACACTGTCTTCATCCTCATTATCACCATAAATGACTTCTGCCGTTTGCATTTTGGGGAGAAACAATTTAAGATCCAGTGCATGCTAGCTGGCCCTGGGTATGGTCAAGCCATAAAGGTGTCAAGTGTTTTGAATATTGTCAAACCATATTTTTCATGGCCAACCTCTTGCTCTTCTAGCTGATCTTCTGAGATGTAGTGTCTGTGATGGTATTTCATATTGCTGTATTCTAACAAGATGGTAGAACTACTTGATCTGCTTTTTCTCGATGAATCTAGTATAAGGTGTTGTCTCACAGTCTTTCTGATAGTATCATTATTTACTTGTTTCGGGATGGTTAGGTTGGCAGCTTTTCTCATGCATCTTGCTTTAAATTTGTCCATAATTCTTCAGCAATTTCACATGAACAAATAAATTCCCTACCCGCTCGCTGAGCCTGTCCCAGGATCATCCTTTTTTGAACATACCAATGTTTAAAAACACACAATAAAACACATTTACATCCCACAGAATGTTAATGAACTTTTGTTTACTCTACCATCTTGAGATGTGTCATTTGTTACATCATAGAATCATCCTTACATGTGTAAAATGAAGCAGATCAAGGTACTTTTGGATTAAGCTCCATAACACCTTATGTGAGACGTGTATTATAAACAGTTGACAAAAAATCATCTTAAAAACTTCTCCATTAAATTTAAATGTACAATACTGCTATTCAAATGTGCAATGCTAAGATTTTACAAAAGCCCATTTAATCACCTTTCGAATACAACAATATTTGGAAAGTCCCACTGTTTGAACACAGTACATCAGACATATGACAAACTCGTCAAAGATTGTAACTCACAGGTGTGCAAGCTGAAGCATAAAAGCTCACTGTAGTTATTCTATAGCCACTCAGAAGCATGTTACCATGCGTTATTAAAATGGTACATCCAGTATTAAATGTTAACCTTTTGGATGTTTCAATATTACAGATTAACAATCAGTTCGGAAAACTGGCTTTTTAAAAATTCAATTTTCTATTTTTTTTTTTCATTTGGAAGCACTTTTTTTAAAGATCATGTTACTCTTCTATTTGCAGAAGATAAAAATTGTCATCTGCTCCTTTCTATGCCTATACAAGCCATCTCTTGTAGGCATAAAGATCCCTTGACTTTTTTGAAAATGTTCTATGCCTTTAGATAAAGTCATAACAATTCATATCCATGTATGTAAACATTCTTTGATTTTTTACTCCTAACTATACGTAATGAGTGGGTACCAGGTACAGTCCTGGAAAGTAAAGGTAGACAGCGTGATGCTGACCACATCACTCACCAAGTGCCAGTTGGTCTATAAAGTATAGTTCTAGCCCTTTATACCCAAAACGCCTAAAGGCGCGGAAAAAGGCCCTTTTTTATAGGTGTAATACTGTTCCTGGCATCCGTGGCTAAGGCGTTGCGAGTCCGACTCGTAAGCCAGCATACCGCGATCGAAACCCACTGCAGGCTGCGTGGATTTTTATTGTGGTATGGGACCGTCGCAGGTCGACCCAGCCTAAAAAATGGGTACCAGGATAGGCTGTCCTGGGAAAGTAAAGACAGCCGGCGTAATGCTGACCACATTACCCACAGAGTGCTGATGGTCTGTAAAAATATGGGACGCTCTGCCCATATGCCCGATGCGCCGAAAGGCGTGAAAAGGGATCTTTACTTTTTTTTTTATACTGTTCCTACATTGTCAATTTAAATATACATACACATACACACACACACACACACACACACACACACACACAATCCTGGCCGGCTGGAGAATCAAAGCAAGCACTGTCAGCAGACGACAAAGGGAAACTACCACCATAATTTCTGAGACTGCTTTAGAACATGAAATACTTTACATACAGGGACTTTGAGATATTGATGATGTTGTATGAGTTATCTTTTTAGCTCTCCCGTCTTTATGGAGATGCTGAGGGAAATACTGTCTTGCTGAATTTGGCATATAAGGCACATACTGTCTGACCAAGTTTGTATGAGAACTAAAGATTATGTTTCAGATCTAAAACCTTCTATATCAAAGTCAATCAATTTAGTTTTCTATATCATTATATCCCTTTGGTCCTTTTAAGGACGTAATTTTTTGTTATTTGAAGCCCCACTCTGGCTTTTGCCAGAGGCCGCAATATAGGCAGGCTATAAATATGGCCAATTGTCTGAACGTGGTTTCTGGGACCTCTCCACGGTGATCCTCATCCACATGGTGGCACTTTGTGTCATCGGGTGTTTATTGCTTGTGTGATGTCCTAGTGAGGTAGAAAGTCAAGTCAAGTCATTTAGTTTTCTTACCTATCACATTGAACAGTTATTCTTTTCCACTGAACAATTACTTCTTACACTTATGTCTTACTCAATGTATCCATTATTTATCCCTTACCTGGCTATCTTATCTTTAACATGATCCATTCACCTGTTACTTATTTACACAAACCACTTTTATTTTACGTGACTACTGAACCTCAGCATGTCCCAGTTACCCTATCATCATCATTACCATCATAGTGCTACTGTACTATATTGCACTGGGTCACCCGTTGCTGTGACTGTCTGAAGCTATAACTGTCTGAAGCTGTGACTGTCTGAAGCTATAACTGTCTGAAGCTGTGACTGTCTGAAGCTGTGACTGTCTGAAGCTAAAACTGTCTGAAGCTGTGACTGTCTGAAGCTGTGACTGTCTGAAGCTACCAACTGTCTGAAGCTGTGACTGTCTGAAGCTGTGACTGTCTGAAGCTGTGACTGTCTGAAGCTGTGACTGTCTGAAGCTGTGACTATCTGAAGCTGTGACTGTCTGAAGCTGTGACTGTATAGAGCTATAACTGTCTGAAGCTGTGACTGTCTGAAGCTGGACTGTTTAAAGCTGTGACTGTCTGAAGCTACCACTGTCTAAAGCTGTGACTGTCTGAAGCTACGACTGTCTGAAGCTGTGACTGACTGAAGCTGTGACTGTCTGAAGCTTTGACTGTCTGAATAGTTTCACCCATCTCTCTTAGATGCAATGGACTTTATGTCTGCCTATTTGAAGCCTGTCTAATAAGCCACATTCTGTATTCTGATCTTTCCTGGTCTGCCTTTTCTTCCTTTCTACTGAGCCTTGTAGTATTATTTTGATGAGGCTGGTAGGTCATATTACATGTCTTGCATTTTCCATCTTTTCACCGTAACATTTCATACCTAACACATCTCACTTATTTCTTACAATACTATTTCACCTTAACATGTCAGTCTCATTAACCTATTTATCCTTACACAACTTACATATTCCTTACATGGCCACTTTTTCTTTATATCAGTTATTCCAAGAATTAATATATGCCCTTATATGGACTATATTAAGCACAATGATAATGAGTTTTTAACACAGGATGTTTTCACATACTGGGGGTATCATAAGATTAAAGTTTTCAACAAGCAGGGATGCTCACACAAAAAGGGTTTCATAAAAATGGGTTATTAAGCTTTTTTTTTTTATCATTCAAAGTATCATAACATTAGTAATCTAACACACACGCACAAAGCCTTTAACATACAGTATGTTTTACATACTGCATAGATGTGATATTTAGTGAATGCACAAGGACTATCACAAACAGAGGGTATCATCACACAAGCTGTTATTTAAAGGCTCAGAGGTTGCTAATATTTGGCAATTTCATGTTGCCACTTTTTATACCTCCACACTGGGTAACAACTGTGCAGGAGTTGCTGAAAGGCATTCTACCTGAACAATCATTTAAACAGCAGACATTAGTCAGGAGTACATAACACTGAGAACCATCATCATCACCATAATAATCATTTATCTTTACAACTAATCAGACAAATGCAAGGAATAAAGCCAGTCTTACAGGTCATCAAAGAACAACAAATGAGGTAGTTTGGACACCTAACAAGAATGCCCTGGTACTATCTACCACAGACAGCCAGCCACAATTAAACATTAGAACAGGTACAGAGTGAGAGGAAGACCCCGTAAATTATGGAAGATGGAATAAAGAACAGCCTTACAGAAATGAACATCAGTTTTAATAGTGCTATGACAAAGCTCATCAGTGAATGTTACATTCCCCCTCCCCCTACCAGCCACTTCGCTGAGGTACCAGGTGGAAGAGAAGAAGAAGAAGGAGAATCTTTACATTTACATAGCCACCAGCAGTGGTAGGATCATCTTCATTTTCACCAACACCTTCATCAACCAACACCTTCATCAACCAACACCTTCATCAACCAACACCTTCATCACAGGGAATCCAAAAGAATAAATCCAAAATCACAACCATGTCTCTGGTAGGCATCTAAAATAAATTGTCTTTTAACTCTTATCTAACAGCTATCCAGATACATCAATAGTTACATAAATTCTAAACTATTCTGCAATAAACTGACTCGACTTATTTGCAAAAAATTGTCAAAAATTATCCTTTTTTCTTAATTATTGTAAACAAAATAATAAGTTTGTCTTCTCTGAAGAAGGAAATATTGTAACATGAAAATGGTAAAATTACAGAAGAATTATAGTTACATACCTGGAAAGAATAATGCTTCATGTAGTTGTCTAGCATCTTTCTCACTTCAATCTCCCTCCATCCTTGTAGTACCCCTCTTGCGTCATACTAAGCAATAATAAAATAACAAGAGATAAACTGTACAGTTAAATCATTGGTGAATCCACGAAACCATAGAAACAGTATGATAAGTTTATTAACATGTATTGATTGGTATTCATTGAAAGAAGTATATTGTTATGTTCATTTGTGCCCGCCTGTCTCTACTTCATTTGAGGTGTGTCAATCAACATACACTAATTTGAAAAAAAATGTAATATATAATCAATGTTTGGTCATATTTGTTTTATTTCTTGAAAAGCCATATATCTGAGAGATTCTGTTAGAAAAATTACATAAGACAACTATGTTTGTTTGTACACTACTGATTTTGTGCTGATCGTTGTTATTCCTAAGCATTAAAAAAAAAATCTTGTTACCATTAGCCGTGGCATTTATGGATTGCATCAATGTATTCTGAGCTGGCAAGTAGGGAAATAAATGTAGTTAAGAAAAGAGTTTGTAGTTTCATTCCATAAAGCAATAATCTAGTTAGTTAGTTAGTTGGGTTATCGTCATTGCACTCCGGACATGTCCATAGGTGCTCAGATCCTCCCCTCAGTATGAACCCCAACGTCCGATGGCTAATAGTACCAGTTCTATGTTGATTAACAAGTCTTCTGACGTGTCCGGTGTGCGTCTCGTTTTTTGCTGTGCCGATCTTAATTCCCAAGTCTGCCATTCTGGCGAGTGATGTGGATTCACTGCCACCAAAGTCCTCTATCCTTCCCATTTCTCTGAGGGCATTGATAATATCAGCATGATCCATAGGCCGACCGTCGGTAGTGATAGCGGATCCAGCCAACCTGTCAGCTCTTTCATTTCCATCGACGCCCGCGTGTCCCGGAACAAAAATAAAGGTGACTCCACGCACAGTGGACTTCTGTAATGATTCAAGCCATTGTCTTCGCACTGAACCTGCCTGAACCCTCCGGATCATACTCATTGAATCACTGAGTATACATATGCGGGTGTATTTTTGTGTTTCAAGCCAGGCAAACGCTTGCGTCACTGCCATCACCTCCATCGTCATGCTGCTGGTTGTTGGCTTCTTTGACTGTTCTGCCCGCTGAGCGTGCTGTAAATGCCCATGCGCTTCTTCTTTGGCGTATGACGGATCCGTCTGTGTAGATTAATTTATCTGCTTCGTCTGAATTTTCACCGATGAGAGCGTTGACCTCTGCATTAACAGCAACAGGATTCTCTTCTCTACATCGCCTGTTGAGTGTGACAATACAGGAAAATGTACAAATAAACGCCTGAGGCACAGGTATCCATTCTGCACCAGGTATGATGTCGGTTAGGCTGCATATTTGCCTAATAACATCTTCTGCCCGACCTAGCCACGATTTTCCCCTCTTCAGTCTGTCGCCCTTTTCACTAAAAAGCGCTTGATGCAGTGGGTGTTTCTTATCAGCACATATTTTGAGGTATGCCCGAGCAAAGCAATAATCTAGTCAAAATAAAGTCCTACCATTTTCCCATCTTTACTTAAAAAGTAAACGAACAGGCTAGGATAACAAAGGCAACTTTTCACAAATATCGGAAAGAGGCAGCCATTATTTGTGACCACCTGATCGGATGTCCCCATGTGGGTCCAGAACCCCATTGTGGGGGAAAACAAGAATAGACTCACAGTCTCCTCAACAACCCACAGTCTCCTCAACAACCCACAGTCTCCTCAACAACCCACAGTCTCCTCAACAACCCACAGTCTCCTCAACAACCCACAGTCTCCTCAACAACCCAGTCTCCTCAACAACCCACAGTCTCCTCAACAACCCACAGTCTCCTCAACAACCCACAGTCTCCTCAACAACCCACAGTCTCCTCAACAACCCACAGTCTCCTCAACAACCCACAGTCTCCTCAACAACCCACAGTCTCCTCAACAACCCACAGTCTCCTCAACAACCCACTGCCTCCCCAAAAACCCACTGCCTCCCCAACAACCCACTGCCTCCCCAACAAGCATGTCGCTGGAGTTAACTAATTGGGGACATTCTTCAAAGTTGGAGTGCATCTGTCTTAGAGGCAAGGAACCAAAAGTCTGCACACAAATAAGCCAGATCTGTATAATGAATGTGCACATTACACTCAGGTTCTGAAACACGACTAATGTCCAGAAGTAAACAAACAACCAGAGCTTTTCACTGGAGCTTACCTCCAGTGAAAACGAAGAAGAAGAAAAAGATTATGAGAAGAAAACAACAGTATGCAAGTATGAAATGAGAGCTGAAAAAGACAGCAAGAGAACAATTTTGTAGTATTTTATCAAGGCAATGAAAAAAGTCAGCACAAAAACTGAGACATTCAATAAGACACTGCAGGATATGAGGAAGCATAACTGCCCATAACCATCTGTAAGACATGTGATAATTAATATAAAGATGATGATGATGTAAAAAAATTTTTTATCAAAAGAGTTCAATATTTCCAGTAGCCAACTTACATTGTTTAACTGTCTGAGTATAGATCTCAAGTCGGGATCACTGAAGTACTGCTTCAAGGTCCTGTCATGCAGCGCATCATGCTTGCGGGAAGGTGGCTATAAAATATATCAGTGTTTTTGGCATAAGGTTTTGTTCCTACAATCTATATAATAGTACTGTTTGTTGCTTGGTCTCAGATTATTACACTGGCGGAATTCCTCTGGTGTCTCACATGTTGATCAAATGTATTTTAATATCAAACAGTGTAAATTCAACATGACAAACAGAGTACCAGGAACAAAAGCTTGAAAAGTTGAATACAGAGAGAGAGAGAGAGAGAGAGAGAGAGAGAGAGAGAGAGAGAGAGAGAGAGAGAGAGAGAGAGAGAGAGAGAGAGAGAGAGAAAATGAACGAACGAACAAACAAACTATATTTTCAAAGGGTCACAAATTGGGCACGCAGGCCCGTCTTACATTTGGCCCTTACATTTGGCCCTTCCATTCAACCAACTTTCGCACAGCAGTTGTATTTGAGAGAGAGAGAGAGAGAGAGAGAGAGAGAGAGAGAGAGAGAGAGAGAGAGAGAGAGAGAGAGAGAGAGAGTGACTTTCTGGCATGCCACAATGAAAGCAACATTCTACAAAGAACCTGCTAAATAAGGATGTGGATGTTTGCAATGGTTTTGATGAGTGAATTTTTTTACACGAACAGCTCTCAAAATGTATTCATTGCTCAGGATATTGTCAACATTTATAAATAGAAACGACATCTTCTCTGTCTCCATTTGTTTCAACATTTTGTTACTTACTTCTCAACATTTACATTTGTGCAGAATAACAGCCCAAACACAATTTTTCAGAAAGTGGCATTTTTTACATCTTATTTTTGTAAATTTTTATTTTTATAAGCAATAATTGGTGATCAACATAACAGGAGAAGAACTACAATCTAGAAAACAAAGTGGAATTATGGTATACAATACCCTTCAACAATTGCTAAAATCAAATGCTCTGTTTGGCAATAGCAATATCACAATGTATCAGCACTGACAAGACAAACTCTCCTTTATGCCCCTGAAACCTGGCGTACAACTAAATAAGATGAAGCCATATTAGACACATTTGAGAACCAAGTCCCAGACAAAGATTTAGACCCATCAAAGATCCAAACAATGGAGAAGTGAGAGTGAGAAGAAACAAAGAAATTCATAATCTGTTTAAATCAGCCTAAATTACTGGCATCATGAAGACTAAAAGACTGCAATAACTGGGGTATATGGACAGAATAGCTGAAACAGGCAGACAAAAACTGCATAAACAAAAGAGCTGAATGAGAGTCGGGGCAGTCCAAAAAGATGGCAAACCTGCAAACCTGGAAGCCAACTTACTGTTTTTGATGAAGTGTGATTCAGTGTTAGCTGGTGTAAATCAGTCAAATCAAATCCATCTTCTAACCTCTTGACTTCAAAATAGTATTTCCTGCAGTGGATAGACCCAGTACATATGAACAGGTTAGGAGTAAAATGAAAATGTTAAATGTGTAGACAAGCAACATCTACTGCTTTGTCAATAAACAAATTGTTCTTTCCTTTATGTAAATAACAGTGTAAATAGCTTTAAATGTAATGGTATCTAAATATTTTTGTTTTGGTGCTGTGATTGAGTGTTTCTGGTCTCAACGTCCACTCAAGTTACTTGTGTTCTTTTACAGCCGGCCAGTTTCAATTTGTTTAACTCTTTATGTCCCAAAGAACATTCTGTGTATGGAAGCTACTGTCAATGTTTAATAGTTAAAACATTTTGTGCTGTTTAAATATATTTCACATTTTGTTTCGGTATCTTAACAAAATATGGTTCTGTATTTAAACATAACAGTACAAATTCATTACCTTTTTTTTGGATAATAGTACATAAATGTGTCTTTACATTCTGACTATTGCCTCTGTTGAATCTTCAATGACATATTTTGGCACTTAATGTTTAATTAGGAATTGACATCACAGCACTCTAGATATTTCCATAAGCGCTCTGTCCCCATCTTCAGCAACAAGCCTGAAGTTCCAATTGCAATAGTACCTACAGCAGTCTTATTGTATATCCATCTCCTTTTCCTTCAGTGCTCATCGTTGACCAGATCCCCTGGTCTGTGCTTCCTCACTGTTCACTTGCACCCAAAGAGCCCTTACAACACCTAGCATGTCATGAATCCAAGTTGTGCAGAGCTAGTTCATCTGCCTGTTTATTTCCTAATATACCAGCATATCCTGGGGAAAATATCGAAAGGATGCTAACTGCCCGAGATCTCTGAATCGACTCCTGCCACCCTTCATGGAGTATACCAGTCTTCACCTACACAGGTCATGGTCACATTGGGCCCGGAGTACAGAGAGTGGCAAGCAGGTGCTACCAAGGTGGAAGTACAACAGTTGATTCACGATGATTCTCGTCCAGATGATCTGATTATCTATACAGATGGCTCTGTGTTGAGAGGGAAGAGAAGTGCCTGGGGGTTCACAGCGAAAGCCAATGGAAAATCTTTGGTCCAGGACAGCCTAGCATATGATACCACAACATCTAGCATGAGAATGGAGGTGGAGGTGGTAACTGCAGCTTTCCGGTGGCTAGAGAACAAGAAGAGAGCTGAAATGCTTTAGAAGAGCTGCTGGAGTTTCAAGGAAAAACAGAATATGAAATCACAAAATCAGACGAATGCTACAAATAAAGACAGCCTTACAAGTCATCAAAGAACAACAAATGAAGTGGTTTGTACACCAAACGAGAATGCCCTGGTTCTATCTGCCACGGTGAGCCACCCTTAAATGTTAGAACAGGTATAGAGCAAGTAGAAGACCTCAGAAAATATGGAGTAATAGCATTAAGAATAGCCTTACAGAAATGAATATCAGTCTTAATAGTGCTCTTGACAGAGCTCATCAACAAATGTTACATCTTACCCAGACAATTCGCTGAGGTACAAGGTGGAAGAGAAGAAGAAGAAGAAGAAGAAGAAGAAGAAGAGGACAATATTCATACACATGCCATAGTTGTAATAGACTGAAAGTATGCTGAAAAAGGTGAAGACAGGGATGCTTCGGGCAGAGTGACAATTTTTACTGGGAAGGTCATGGGTAATGAGCATACTAAGGATCTTTTCTCCAGGCCATGCCGGCGTAGTGGGGAATGGACAGGTGAACAGATTGGTTGGATATGCACCACTGGGTGGTAAATTGATACATGACAAGGCAGATGTGGTCAAGGTCCTTTGAAAACAAATAACGAAGTCAGAAGAGAATCAAGATTATTATGGCCTTGAGAGAATGATGCACCTGGGTGTAACTGGAGGGTCTGGCCAGCACACTACACTCAGAGGAGAGGCAAGATGGACAGATAACCAGATTATGACCGGTACCATTAGTATTGGAACTCTGCGCTGGCTGCTGAAGATAGGGACGCGGAGCACAAATGGAAATGCCCCGAGTCCTGTGATGTCAATTCTTGACTCAACTTAAATGGTCTTTACTTTCTCAACTCACTCTGTGAGTTGGTTAAAAATATGGAATGTGTGTACAGCTAATTCTTAAGCCTGCTAAAGGCTGCAGTGACTGCCTCCACCTCCCTTCTTAAATAAAATGTTGTGGTGTCATATGCCAGGCTTTGTTGCACTAAGCGACATCCATTCAGTTTTGCTAAGATTCCCCATGAGCTTCGTCTGCCTCTTAACACAGAGCCATCTGTATAGATTCTGGCATTAAAAGAATTAACCTTGTTTATCTACACAGCTCGGCTGAACGGGGTATTTTTGTTAGAAACACCGTATGGTGCAGAATACGATGTTAATGCTATTCAGACAATGGCAGTCTGTGTATTTTTTTCTATTTAAAGTCTTTTACTTAACTTTGATCTTTAACAGTGTCTTCACTATAAAATCGTGTAGTTCTGACACACAAATTGATTGTAATTTCATATTCGTCCTAGCCATTTAAACACTACAGTACAATTACAGTCTGTGCTCAAAGTCTTGCCCTCAAACTTTGTCATTCATATAAATAGCCAAATATCTAAAACGCCTGTACGAAACACGAAATCTATGTAATTAGTAAAATGTGTGAAATGGATGACCTTTCAGCTTCAACTCACAGTTTTCTAGCCACACTCTTGACTAAGTCGTCTGCTGACATCGTTCTATAACTGCAGTGACTCTGCTACTTTAGTGACTCCATGTCCGTAAAATAAAATAAAGAGAACATGTTGGTGGCTTCCTGGGTCAGTTCACACACATTATAAACAAATTATTCGTGGACAACAATGTGATATAGTTCCAGATATTAACAACATTACAGTCCATCGTGTAAATATTTGTAAAAATAATATAATAAATTATTTTAAGTAACAATATTCTACTGCAAGACATTTTATGTGCTAACCGTTACTAAATAATTTAATTTAATTTAATTTTTAATTTAATAAATCGTAACTAAGGCAGCGTATGAATACAACACAGGGGAAGTGACTACAGATATTTCAAGTGGTGCCCTCCCCTTCATTTAATGCGCAGAAAAAGTGGTGGGGGAATCTCGTTCCTTGTTTTTCTCAGTAAGTTGTTTCCACTTTCCACACGTGGCTGCGACTTGTTTTGCCGTTGACAGAACCCACCCCCCACCCCCCAGGGAATGAAACCTGGATTTCATGAATGAAAGCCCAGCGTTCTTCGTTGCTCATCCACCCGTCTCTCCTTGGAAGTTTGTCTATCATTTCCCCTACGTGTTGAATATCGTATACATCTCCCAATTCACTCGACGCTGAATTATTCTGGTCGAGTTTAAATGTTTGCCTGTTAAGCTTATCTGTGCATCTGCTCCCAAAAGTTTTCAGCGCGTTCTCATCAAAAAAATATATAACAGTCTATAGCGCTGGCAGCAGCCAGTCTATCTATTCATTTCATCTCACACACGCATATCCTGGGCAGAAAATTCAGTATTAAGTTCTTATCCTGACCTCCACTGACATGGATTATGACCTTTGCTTCCTGGTCGACCCGAAGTGGGTACCAGGTAAACTCATGGAAAGTAAAGGCGGCCGGTGTGAAGTTGACCACTTCACCGACCAAATGCCGATTGGTCTAGAAACTATAGGTCCAGCCCTGCATACCCAATACGCCTGAAGAGAGGGAAAAGTATTTTACTGTTTTAAAAAAGGTAAAGTCGGGAGATGTGAACCAGCGTCATTGCATACAGTTATAAACCAAAAGTGCTCTGCCACCAGTACGGACAGTTGATAAGAATTATCCGCCTGTGTCTCTGTCCGCACGTAACTCTGTGGCTACAGCGACGTTCCTTCATTTACCCCAGAGTATCAACTCTGGTATCCATTTCCAAGAGGTTAGGTGAACCCCGGGAGCCGCCCGGTTTCGAACACCGACCGTGGGCTGCAGCGAGTCGCAGCTGGATTTGAAAGCGAGCCTCTTATTGACTGCTCTAACGCGTCCCCTCTTTTACTGTTGCTGACTTTTAGTGACAGGGATTTACTGCATTGGTGGTCTTCATTCAATAAAAAAAGTGTTGGCCTGTCCTCTTCTGTTAATGATCTCTGTGATACATCGTCGGATGGCAATCCATTTGTCTTAATAATAACATTTCTGCTCGTCTTAAATAAAACGTTTTCAACTTCAATTATACATTTAGGCACTATTCTTTACTTTGTTGTTTCCATTACTTTGTGTCTTTCCGTTGTTGACACTGAGACATATTTGTATCAATTTCTACCATCACAGTATTTATTATTCCTTATAGTATCTTACGTACAACAAAAAATAGAAGCGATAAAAGTGGCATGCATTCTAACTTCTCTTGTTAGCTGTATGACAGCTCCAGGCGAGAGGGAAAAATGGAAAGAAAGTCAGTGATAAAATCCGTCAATGGAAAAAAAAAAATTTAGTGTTTTGAATTGACCAGACATATCTAGGGATTATAGAAAAACTTTACGGAAACAGTTGGAGAGAGGTGAAGAGCATCCATTTTTGTTCATGGCTCAAAGTTCGTGTTTCAGGAGGCATTCTTATAAGCTGTTGCTGATACACAGTAATAAGTCAAAAAGTAAAGATCCCTTTTCACGCCTTTCGGCGCATCGGGCATATGGGCAGAGCGTCCCATATTTTTACAGACCATCAGCACTCTGTGGGTAATGTGGTCAGCATTACGCCGGCTGTCTTTACTTTCCTAGGACAGCCCATCCTGGTACCCATTTTAGGCTGGGTCGACCTGCGACGTCCCATACCACGATAAAAATCCACGCAGCCTGCAGTGGGTTTCGATCGCGGTATGCTGGCTTAGGAGTCGGCTCGCAACGCCTTAGCCACGGACGCCGCTGATACACAGTAATGCTTTCTTTTAAAACTCAGTCGGATGCCGTCTCCACAGTTAAAGTTGGCTGAAATAGATCTCCAACATTCTCTATCTCGCACCCTGCTTGTACTCTCCCAGACTGATGTTCATTGATCTCTTGATATAATCCTCCCACTTGTACCGTTGTCTATCTCTTGTTCACCTGCTTTCAACTTTCCCTCCGGAGTAGTTTTTATGAAAGTGTTGTAGTTTAATTTGGTCGCACAATTTCACCTTTATTGGACAAAAAAAAGGTCAAGACTCTTATTTTAGGTCCATGGCGCACCGGACATACTATGCCTGACTCAATGGTTGTGTAGTCTAATCAGCCTTCAGTGGGTGGTGTGCTCAACAAATCCTCACGGTGCAGTTTCGATTCCAAGAGTAGGTAGCAACGTTCCCAAAACTATCCGTTTCAACCCCCAGGTTAAAATTTGGACATAACGCGTCCATTGGGTTCTCAGAGTTGATGTTTGTTATTTTATACACCATGTCATTATTTATTTAGGAAACTTGAGTAATTTGTATTATTCTTTCAAACATTGCTTTGTTTCCACTTTTCTGCGCTGTGATTAAGATAGACATTGTACTTGGAATATTTAGATAATCTTGCTAAAACAGGAAATATAAGATGCCCTTAGTATGATAGTTGATTATCCTCGTCGATTTTATCTTAAGGAGAAATATTTTCAAAGATGGCATGGACATTTATTACTTTTCTATGTGTGGATTTTGGTTCTAATAATAAATCGCATGACCTTGCCACGCAGGTAAAGGTGGTTGAAAACCTTCCAGCCCCTAGGATACCACAGCTACCTGATCGGCTGCATTTGACTAGTCTCCCATATACACCATACATGTATATCCGTGTAACACCGGTTTCTACGCAGCGTGTCCAAATTTAATCCACCCTTACCAGCTGTTTAGCAGCAACAATACTGAAACTATCCAGAGAGTTAACTCGGTGCATTTGACACACAAATAATAATAAATTTCGTGACTTTAGAATGGGTGCAACTTTTTTTTGTTTGTTTTTAAGCTTACAACCCTTTTTTGTTCAGACATAATTTATAGCAACTCTCATTTATTTTAACAGGTACTAAGAATATGTACAATAATTAAATCCCAGGGAATCTCGAAACCTGCATGAAAAGCATTAATCTGTACCATATTGGCTGACAACAGTCGATATTCCATTCATTTCCTTATCCTGTTTGAGCCTAGTCAAACCCACATAGCTGCTTCATTCGTGCTGCTTGAAACTGTGGGTATCAGGTGTTATCTAAAACAGAAGTGACACAGTTTTAAAATGTTCTACTCCACTCATACACTTTCTGGACTGACAGGCAAGCATCACCACAGTGGCCCTTCATTCGCCGATGAATTTCTGTACGTTTCACCTCGGTCAGGACATAACCGCATTCGTCTGCACTGTGACGTCACATGCTTAACACTCTTTACATCCTTAACAACAAAATTAACAGACTACGAAACAGTTGTGTGGTTGTTGTAATTTCTATCGCACTTTTAAGCTTTTAATTTGAAGCTTCCTGGTGTCTTATGTAAGTAAACACTCTCAATCAAAGTCTAATAAGGAAGTAATTGGGCGTCATTTTGAACTAGTTCTGCTTTATGACAGTAAATGCTGGATTGCAATAGAAATGGAGAACACCTGCTAAACTTGTGTGCTGAACAAGATCTCTACATTACCAACACATTCTACCAACATCGCCAAAGTCAGGTTAAAACGTGGTACAAGTGGAACAACTTAGATCAAGCGTCACAAATTGATTTTATACTAGTCAGACAACGGCAGAAGAGGAAGGTAAGAGACTCAAAAGCTGTCCCAAATGCGGGACTGGATTCAGACCATCGCCCAGTAGTTATGAACATTTGCAACTCAAGTAGAAACAGTCTACATAAACAGAAACGTGAAGAAATCATCAACACTAAGAAATTAGAGGAAGAGAATATCAAACATGAATTTGAACTAGAAATAACAAAGGCTTTTGCAGATATTGCCAAGGAACCAGTAGGAATTGAAGAAGAATGGGATTATTATAAATCAACCATCACGAAGATATTAAAAGACAAGTGTGGTACCAGAAAGACGGGCAAAGGCAAGAAAAAGGGTACCGCTTGGTGGAATGAAGAAGTCAAAGAAGCAGTGTCAAATAAAAAGAAGATGTTTCAAATATGGTTTAAAAACAAAAGACGAAAAGGATTACATTAGGTACAGACTAACCCGAAGAGACACCAAGAGAACAATAAAGAAATCCAAAGAGGAATCATGGAAAAAGTATGGTGAACACCTAACACAGCTATGTACAGAATCATCAAGAGACTTTTATAAGAGTGTGAAAGCGATGCGATTAAGAGAAGAAAGCTTCAATCCAACATCAGTCATAAATGATAAAAATGGAAAACCATTATTCAGCCAAAAAGAAATTAAAAAAAGATGGGAGGAATATTTTAAAGAACTTTTGAACCCGTCGGGAATACATGAAACAGCAGAATTCCATTCAAGGGCTCCAGATCATCTAGAACCACACATCCTGCGGGATGAAGTAGAGAAAGTTATCAAAACAAGTAAAAGACACAAAGCAGCTGGTATCGACGGAATAACAACAGAAGTCATCCAGGCTGGAGGGGACACTATGATCACCTGGCTGGAGAGAATTTTCAATAGAGCATGGGCAGAGAGAAAGGTACCAGTGGATTGGCAAAGATCAGTTGTAGTACCTATCTGGAAGAAAAAAGGAAACAAGAGAGAATGTGGAACTTATAGAGGAATATCT